TAATAAGGAACATTCATAATAATTGATAATTTCTTTTAATCTTATGGCAGAAACAAATCCTATTTTATCAATAGTTTCGTTTTTTAAAAATCCCCAAAAAGATTTTAATAAATCTCCAAAGATAAGTTTGAAATATCAAAGATTTACAACCATCAGGTTGGAAAGATATAAGGAATTGGACAGTTAAAGTTCGTGGCAAAGACTCCCTAGTATCCTGAAGAATGCATAGCATAAACCATTATGTCGATACAATAAAAACTAAAATCGTGTGTTGAATACTTATTTTCTTATATAAATATATAATATATTTTGTGGCATATCCAAAAATTTGGAAAACAAATTTTTTATACTTCCTGTATAGGACAGGCTCATTTTGTTATATTGCGGTGGCTTATTCACTGTATAGCTGAGGATCTGTACTGTCTTATGGAAAATCTGGGATGCTCACGTGCTGAAGAATGGGGGCTTTATACATTTGTACTGAATTTCATTGAAAAATAGAGAGAAAAAAATTACTTTAAAACTAACCTAAAAATATCATATTTTTAACAATATTCTCAAAATTACCTTCTCCCATTCATGAAACTCAGTTTCCAATACTGGGTTTCATAACCATACCCTGTGTATATCTTCCTTGGATACAAGATTAGGGGGACTTATAGAATGGGGGGGGGTTTGATGGTCAAATAACGTAAGATATGTATAGACTGACCGCTGGCTGTTATATAAAGGATCTGTGATTATCTCCATCAATCCTCAAGCTCTCTCCGGTGTCAACACTTACAAGGTTTGCTCTCAAGGTAGTATTCTCTTCTCTATAAACCTGAAGAATCAAGATCCAGTCGGAACTCAATCAAGTGTTTATCAACATCATAATTTTTTCAGTACAATGTTGTCTGTCTGGGTTATGTACAGTAGATATTGTGTACATGAATATCACTGTTACATAACTTGTACAGATGATACAAACCCTCAACACTTTCTTGTTCTTTAAATGTCGGCGTTATGATATGTATAATTTGTTATTTGCATAATCTTCATTTTTGTTCATTTTTTGTCATTTGATCTAGTTCTGGAGGAACAAGTAGCAGTGGGATTGTATCGTATTCTCACTGGTTCATGTTCTTCCAAAACTAAACCTTAATCTTCAGTTATTGCATTTATACCCTGATAAACAAGTTCCAGTCATCTGAATCCACAGTATTTACTGAATAGTTCTGTCTGTCTGGGTTATGTACTGTAGATATTGTGTACACGAATATCACAGTTACATAATCTTCACGGATGGAACATACTCACATAAACCTTGTACATGTGTTTTAACAACATATCTATCCTGTCTAGTGGTGTCTACTATAGGTCTGTACATAGACCTAGCTGTGTACATGTGTCTTAACAACATATCTATCCTGTCTAGTGGTGTCTACTATAGTCCTGTATTATATCATGACTAGAGCAGACACTGCTAAATATGCTGGATTCAACCTCAGTATCAATCCTGGAATTTCCTTCATTTAATATAGTTTTGGAGGAACAAGTAGCATTTGGATTATATTATATTCTCACTGGTTCATGTTCTTCCCAAACTAAACCTTCATCTGTGACACCTGAGAGTTTAATATATCCTAATCTTTAAAATCTACATATACATGGTTTTGTCTGTCTGGGTTATGTACTGTAAATATTGTGTACACGAATATCACAATTACATAATCTTTATAGATTGAACATTAATGCACATCATAGATGTTATTCCCAAACTAAAACTTATATTCAGCTTTTTTACTAAACCCTATATTCAGCTTGTATTTACTAAACCCTGTATTCAACTTGTATATGTCTGATGATTTGAGTCTGGGCTATGCACTGGAACTCCCTAGTTCAGGAGGAACAAGTAGCAGTGGGATTGTATTATATTCTCACTGGTTCATGTTCTATCCAAACTAAACCTTAATCTTCAGCTTGGATACCTGATAACAAGNTCATGAGTTTGTCTTTCAGGAGTTTGTCACGGCACCCAGATGGAACAATATCATGTAGCTATCTATTGGTGTCAATCATCATGACTAGAACAGCCACTACTAAATATAATAGATTTAAAATAGCTGAAAAGTATCTTAGTCTTTCTGGGTTATGTACTGTAGATATTGTGTACACGAATATTACAGTTACACAATCTTTACAGATAGAAAATATAAAATATTGCAAAACCTTATAATCTCTTCATATGTATCATATATCTTGCGGTGACTACAGTAGTCTTTATTATATCATTATGGATTCAATCTCGTCATCAATCTTGGAACTTCCTTCATGTAATATAGTTCTGGAGGAACAAGTATCAGTGGGATTGTATTGTATCTCACTGGTTCATGTTCTTCCAAAACTTAACCAATATCTACAGCTATTCCATACTCCCTGATAGATAAAAGGAAAAGGAAAGGAAAGGAATAGAAAAGTTACATATTTATTATTTACTTTATAGCTAATATTTTTCGATGACGAACTAACAACTTTTAGAATTAAAAATTTTAGATTTATTTGTAATGTTAAAAAAAATAAAAAAGGTTGTGGAAAAGATATCGGTTTTTAATTTGCGCCGATTTTTGACATTCTTTAAGTTTGATTATATATTTTACTCTTTTTAATCATTTTAGTCTTTTCTTTGTAAACTCGTCTTTGCTTTCTTCGATTCTTTTGCAAACATAGCATGTGTTAGAATTAAAACATTGGTTCTGCTGATAAAAATTTTAATTGAAATTTTCAATTAAATCGAAAAAAGATTGAACGTTGAAAACTTAGAAAAGTGTCGTTTATTTTCATACAATATTTTAGAGAAATTGTGAGAAGGAAGCAGTAAATTTTAATAGATTTTATTCTAGGAATATAAAAATCATTTCTGTTTCTAATATTTGTGTTTTTGATATTTTTTAATAATGAAATCTTTTTTAAATGTTGGGGTAATTGATCTTTAAGTTGAAATAAAATTTTTATGACATTAAAAAATCCTAATTTTCTGAAGGGGAGTTTGTTTAAAGCCCAAAAAGCTTCCGCTGTGTGACTTATTCTAGGTAACCCCATCAAGAGACGAATAGCTTTCTTTTTCAATGATTCTATCTTATCAATATTTTTGTTTGAAGTAAGCATTAGAAATGTTGAACTAACTTCTAAATGAGAGTGAAAAAAGGAGTAAAAAGCAATTTCATTGTTAAGCTTTTTTTTTATTTTTTTCAAAGCATAAAGTGTAAAAGTTAATCGCCTGTATATCTTTTTAAAATAGTCATTAAAGTTCAATTTAGTTCACTATCCAGCCATATTCCAAAGAATCTACAATATCTACAGTACATAACCCAGACAGACAAAACTATATTCAGAAAGTAGCACACAGATTTGTGAATTTAGAAAATAAGATCCAATAGGATATAACAGCTTTAGTTTGGGAAGAACATGAACCAGTGAGAATACAATACAATCCCACTTCTACTTGTTCCACCAGAACTATATTTTATGTAGAAAATGTCGGGTTAGGAAAAAAAATTAAAATACCATCCATATCCTACCTGTTCCTCCAGAACTATATTAAACTATGGAGATGGAGTTGAATATAACGACGACAAATAATGTAACAAAAATTCTACAGTAAACTAATTAGTTGTTTAGGAACAGGTTGAGAAAATAAAAATTAACTCTTATCATCGAAAAAAAGTAATCTTTTTCAGTTTTTGTAATCTTTCATTGTTCACAAACATTTTCTGTAGATTATCTAAAAATGTTATTGAAAAGACGACATTTGAAAAATTTATAGAAATTGCATTTTTTTTAACTCCCCTAATCCTGCAATTGACCCCCTCCTCCCCTCCCACGCGACGTTACAACTTTAATCATGATACCAGCAGCTTTAAATATCAGATTTTTACCATTAAAACGATTTAAATAATAATTGTTATGACAATTTATTGATATAATTATAGGAAATGCTGGAAATCACGTGGACAAAAAGAAAGGTTGCAAATTTGCATTGATAAATATTTTTCTCATGAATCTATTTTCATGGGTATTCAAAGTATTTTTAAAAAAGGTTCATAAAAAACCTTCATATTACTTTGCATCATAAACGTTTTTTATAATTGCCTCACATATGAAATATTTAAAAGCAAAAGTAATAAAGTAAATTTTGTTAAGATTGTAATTTATGAGAAACATTTTGTATAATTTTTAGTGGGATTAAAATTTGATGAGGTGATCGCTAAATTAAGATATTATTCCGACAAGTTTTTTAATTTTCCAACTGCTTATTTTAAATTTTTTCTTTAAATATTAAATCCTAAGTCCAGGTACACAGAAAATATGATTCCTTCAAATATATCTCGGTATAGTATTTTACTTAAAATATTTACTCAAATATTTGCCAGAAATAATGTAGATTTCATCTCTCAAATGGTTTTACCAAAACATACATAACCATACCAAAACATTGGAAGAAATCATTTAAAGAAAAAATAAACCCCTGTATAGATTTTAGACGTAATTTCAAGTATCTAACCATTAAAACCCTGATGGTATCAGAAAACAATGTGAACATACCCTGCTTTATATTTCTGATAATTGATAATTTCCAATTGTGTCGAGATAGAAATAATATTCTGAATTCTGAATTGAAAAAACGAAAAAATTTGTATTGCTTCAAACAACGTTAAATATTATCGAATATTTGATGGATGAACTTTTATTAAAAATATTCTCTGATCCATGACATGTGAGAGGTAAAGTATGGGAATAAGAATATCCAAGAGGCCGGGAGAGGTAGAGGAAGGGGGAGGGGGATAGGGATATATTCTGCTAGGCACAGGTAGCTGCTCTCTCTCGATACCGCGCCGGTCAGATCGGTCAGTTGACTCCAGGGTTAATTCTACCCTACTCCAGTCTTTACACCATTTAGATATGACAGGAAATAATCTGGTTTATTTATCTGAAATATCCAAGATGAATTTTAATCTTTAAATCTGTTCAGCCCTGTGTCTAGAACAGTTTCCAAGCCAAGCAGCTAGTCGACCCTTAGCCGTTCAGCTTTATATAGTGACCGAAAGGTAGACTCCAGGTAGGGGTTTTTATATGCAGTTTTATCCCTATACAGTTTATATCAGTAGATTTATCTAGGTAGGGTTTATATCAGTAGATTTATCTAAGTAGGGTTTATATCAGTAGATTTATCTAGGTAGGGTTGTATCAGTAGATTTATCTAGGTAGGGTTTATATCAGTAGATTTATCTATGTAGGGTTATATCGGTATATTTATCTAGGTAGGGTTTATATCAGTAGATTTATCCAGGTAGAGTTTATATCAGTAGATTTATCTAGGTAGGGTTTATATCAGTAGATTTATCTAGGTAGGGTTTATATCAGTATATTTATCCAGGTAGAGTTTATATCAGTAGATTTATCTAGGTAGGGTTTATATCAGTAGATTTATCTAGGTAGTTTTTATATCTGGAGATTTATCTAGGTAGGGTTTATATCTGGAGATTTATACAGGTGTAGTTTATTTCTGGAGATTTATCCAGGTATAGTTTATATGTGGAGTTTTATCCAGGTATAGTTTATAACTGGAATTTTATCAAGGTATAGTTTATATCTGGAGTTTAACCCTAGTAAGGTTATATCTGGAGTTTAATCCTGGTAAGGTTTATATCTGGAGTTTAATCCTGGTAGGGTTTATATCTGGAGTTTAATCCTGGTAGGGTTTATATCTGGAGTTTAATCCTGGTAGGGTTTATATCTGGAGTTTAACCCTGGTAGGGTTTATATCTGGAGTTTAAACCTAATAGGGTTTGTATCTGGAGTTTAACCCTGGTAGGGTTTATATCTGGAGTTCAAACCTAATAGGCTTTGTATCTGGAGTTTAACCCTGGTAGGGTTTATATCTGGAGTTTAACCCAAGCAGGTAGGGTTTATACCTGCAAATGAAACTACACATGACTAAAAAATATATAGGTGAAAACATTTAAATCGAAAACGCGATGATGCTGGACTAAAATATATTATTTCAAATATTTATTCAGATATATTTTAAATGAACTGTAGAAAATAAGATCTTATTCAAGGATTTTTTATAGAGATATATGAACTTCATTAATAGCTTTTTAAGAATTTATTGTAATGTATAACTTTTATATACAATTTAATAGACCGAAAATTTGGCAAAAACAATTTGATGCCTAGAGTGTTAAATTTAGAAGAAATGTAAATTTTCATTTACAGGACGTTTCTGCAAATAATGTTAAAATGTTTTAGGAACTGGAAATCTTAAAAAGCTAAACTAGCTTTGCATTCATCAACAAATATTTAAGCATACAGGTTGAAGCAAAGAAAATTTACTTGAATTTGCCCAAGTTTGTATGAGATAAATGCATGAAAAGTGACAGGGGCGTACACAGGAATTTATTGAGAACCAAGTTTTGATTACTCTCATGGAAAAAAAAACTCAAACAAGAGATAAAAAATGTTTTTTTTAGGTAGAGAAGAATGTGGTTGAGCTCCGACATGCTAAACTCTCTGGTTTACTGGGAGAACCCCCGAGACTCCGGGATCGCCTTTGGACCCGTCCTTGTCTGCCTGCTCGCTTGTAGATACATCTCTCTCATCTCCGTCCTGGGAAACCTGGCCCTAGCCCTGGTCACTGCTACTGTCAGCTTCAGGTGGAGATATATCGATGTATTATCTAAGTTCATGAGGGCACTAATAGATATATAACGCATTGCTCCAAGCGTTGGATTATCCGAACCAGTCTCTTGTGATTGTACTCAATATTCATTCGATCACTCGTACCGACCGGTCTAGACTACCCAGTGTAAAGTCGACCTATACATAAAATTTAGGCTGGCGGGTTCTAAACTTAAAGTTACTTTAAGCTAATCGTCAAAAATATAGAATATTGTATATTCACTGATCTTTATGAACAGAGAGACAAGTTAGACAGGTACTAATCATACCATAAAGTTAGACAGGTACTAATCAGTACGGGTTGTTCACAAAGGATGAGACCACAAAGTTAGACAGATACTAATCAGTACGGGTTGCTCACAAAGGATGAGACCATAAAGTTAGACAGGTACTAATCACGTACGGGTTGCTCACAAAGGATGAGACCGTAAAGTTAGACAGGTACTAATCACGTACGGGTTGTTCACAAAGGATGAGACCGTAAAGCTAGACAGGTACTAATCAGTACGGGTTGTTCACAAAGGATGAGACCGTAAAGTTAGACAGGTACTAACCACGTACGGGTTGTTCACAAAGGATGAGTAAAGGATGAGACCGTAAAGACGATTTGAAACTCTTTAAATATGATTATCCCAAGTTTAAACTTGAATGGCTTATTTAATGATTCGGATTACAAAAAAAAAGAAGATTGAATCTGCAAGAAATCATGAATATAAGGAAACAGAATAATTAAATTCCGTAGAGTCCTCTCTGAAGTCTCATCCATTGTGGGTAACCCTGTAATGGACAAAAATCGAATCAAATATTAACATATATGTAAACATCGCAATATTAGGACTTTTCAACAACTCCCTTAATACCTGAGCTAAAACAAGCACGTTTATACAGTTTTATTAATTGTTTATGTCTAAAAAATGAAGTGAGTTAGTAAGATAAACCAAAGGTCCCTTGTCACCCGGTCTTGAAAATCAATGCTTAAATTTCGTGGCTGTCTGGCTTTCTGTTAATGCTTATGCATGTAATGCAGCTGATAACAAGACATTATTTAATTCTATCTATTTTAGGATCTACAAATCCGTCCTGGCCGCCGTTAACAAAACTCAAGAAGGACATCCTTTCAGGGTAAGTGATTGTACAGGAAGAACCATTAAACATACGACATGGAGCAGTTTTATTTATTTTGTTAAACTATTATTTGTTTTATTTTGAATGTTCACATATTTTGTTTATGTAACATTGTTCGTCACGATATTTATGTGTTCAGCAATATTTGGAGTGTGATGTAACCCTTCCTTCTGATAAGATTTCTCAGCTCGTAGATTCTCTCCTTGCCAGGTATAGAGATATATTCAGGATACAGGGGGATACGGGGGGGATACAGGGGGATACAGGGGACACCGAGAGATACAGAGGGATACAGAAGTTTAACAACTCAATACCTAGGTTTAACAACTCAATATCTAGGTTTAACAACTCAATATCTAGGTTTAACAACTCAATATCTAGGTTTAACAACTCAATATCTAGATTTAATAAATCAATATCTAGATTTAACAACTCAATATCTATGTTTAACAACTCAATATCTAGACTTAACAACTCAATATCTAGGTTTAGCAACTCAATATCTAGGTTTAACAACTCAATATCTAGGTTTAACAACTCAATATCTAGGTTTAACAACTCAATATCTAGGTTTAACAACTACATGACCAAGCTGAAGACCATTATCCTTGTTGAAGATATTATTGAGTCCGTTAAGGTAAAAAATTAAACTTTAAAAATTATGTCTGAAAAATGAAATAAAAAATGTCTAAAATTTTATTTTTAATATTTACATCTCTAAGGTTTGAACTTGTCAAGTAAATATAAATTCCTAACTTCACTTGAACCCACACTTAGATAAATATTTCCTTTCCTGTGAACCCAACTCTGACTAATCTATCCCTGGGATAAAATTCATCAAAATATTCTCAGAATTTATGTCTTCTCCATGCTTGTCTGAGGATTCATGATTACTCTTTCATCCAGTCCTGATTCTCTCATGTATACTGTTAATTTATTTGCTGTTGCCATGTATCTCCTGTATTCTAGTTTGCAGTTGCTAAGTATCTCCTGTATTCTTGTTTGCTGTTTCTATGTATCTCCCATATTCTAGTTTGCTGTTTCTATGTATCTCCCATATTCTAGTTTGCTGTTGATATGTATCTCCTATATTCCAGTTTGCCACTGTTGCTATGTATCTCCTGTATTATAGTTTGCTGTTGCTATGTATCTCCTGTATTCTAGTTTACTGTTGCTATGTATCTCTTGTATTATAGTTTGCTGTTGCTATGTATCTCTTGTATTATAGTTTGCTGTTGCTATGTATCTCTTGTATTCTAGTTTACTGTTGCTATGTATCTCCTGTATTATAGTTTGTTGTTGCTATGTATCTCTTGTATTCTATTTTGCTCTTGCTATAAATCTCCTGTATTCTAGTTTGCTGTTGCTATGTATCTCCTGTATTATAGTTTACTGTTGCTATGTATCTATATATAAAAAGTTGTAATCTCTGTTCCTCTGTCTATTTGTTTGTTTGTCCGATCATAACTTGGGAATCCCTGGACCGATTTTGATTGGGGAACTCGGGAGACCCACGAGAATGTTCTTAGCGTGGTTTTGAGATTCTAAGTTGTGTAGGTCGACTTAAATAGCGAAAATTCAGTTTCAAGTGCGGGTAAATGGCGGGAGTAACTTTTAGTAACCTGGGCAGCGCTGAGTTCCCAAGCTAGTCTAATTCTAGTTAGCTGTTGCTATGTATCTCCTGTATAATAGTTTGCTGTTGCTTTTTATCCTGTATTATAGTTTGCTGTTGCAATGTATCTCCTATGTTCCAGTTTGCTTTGCTATGTATCTTCTGTATTGTAGGTTGCTGTTGCCATATATCTCCTGTATTCTAGTTTGCAGTTGCCGTGTATCTCCTGTATTCTAGTTTACTTTTGCTATGTATCTCCTGTATTATAGTTTGCAGTTGCTATGTATCTCCTGCATCCTAGTTTGCTGTTGCTATGTATCTCCTGTATAATAGTTTGCTGTTGCTTTTTATCCTGTATTATAATTTACTGTTGCTATGCATCTCCTGTATTCTAGTTTGCTGTTGCTATGTATCTCCTGTATTCTAGTTTGCTGTTGCTATGTATCTCCTGTATTCTAGTTTGCTGTTGCTATGTATCTCCTATATTCTAGTTTGCTGTTGCTATGTATCTGTTGACCTATGTTGGAGGTATGTTGAACGGATTAACCGTACTGATCCTGGGCTGGGTTGGACTATTCTCCCTCCCCCGTCTCTACAGGGATAACCAGAAGCAGATTGATGATGCAATCCTACCATTGAAATCTAAACTTGAAGAACTCCAGGTTTATATTTTTATCGTTAAACTACTGATAATCTTTTTCTTAATCTTTTGAATGATTTAGTTCAGAGAAATTGAGTCTTTGCAACAAACTCAAATTGCTAAGCCCTATATCTTTGAAACATGATGGCGTAAATTTTTGATATTTCAAACTTAGATTATTTTTTCTGACAGTTAAGTCTCCTTCCTACTACAATAATAATAGTTTGAAATGACAATGACTTTGGGTTTCCGAGATGTCAGAGTTTGGGCACAGCCTCAATTCCTTTAGATTAGAAGACTCGATAGAACCACAAGAATGTTCTAAGTTTGGTTTTAAAAAAATCTGAGTTGAGTGGGTTGACTTTTATAATTGTTCGCTGATTTTTCTGTCTCAATTGAGGGATTTTCAAAAATCGTAAAAATCTGTAAATTTTGACCGTCCATAAACCTTGCCGCGGTTCATGTGAGTTGCCAAAAAAATTGATCCAATCGGTTTTCAATCGTTTTGCCGCTTATTGGATGCAAATAAAAGAACCAGTCAAACATTTACATATATATATATTAATCTATAATTTGAAGATATGATTGTATTCTAGGTTAAGGTAATGTCCTCCCTCCCTGCCTCTGTAACTGGAAAGAAGGAAGAATAAACAAAGAAGATAAAGGAAGAAGAGAAGAAAGATGAAGAAGAGTTAAAATAGAATAAATACCATCCCTAAATATTCATTTATAGAGCTCGCGTCTAGCTTAGCTCGGGCGCATATATATCAATAAAAGTTTAAAAATTATAATTGATAATTTTTTTTTTAATTATCTAGTTTTGGCTCATCGGCCATCTTGAGATCAGAACTGTTGTTTGTATATTTCTGATCTTGAACACTTGAACTCAAAATCCAATTCATGGACAATTTTAAATCTAAGGATCGATGCTTTATCCCAAATTAAAAGTTGGTCCCTGTGTAATGAAAATGCTTTCATGTTTTAACCCTCAGATTGCCTGATAGGACACAGGAGGCAGATTTTGCCGTTTCTAAAATAACACTGGCAGAGAGTTGAAAATATGCTTTCTGGATTACAAGAATTTTTGTTTGATATATATTCTAGTAACTTGAGCCCGGAATTTCATAAGCTTCGACTCGAGTCTGAATTCCTTAGACCCAGGAATAAGACTAAATCTTAGACCCAACTTATAAGTCAGCTGACGAAAGCTTGTGTCATGTAATCAACAGCTTTCAGCTCTTAGGATCAACTTAAGGAAATGCCAAATGAAAATAAAAACGACCTTGGTTGGTTTTAGTGGAGAATTAGTCTCAATGTTGAGTCTTTCTAATAAAATCTCTCGAATCCGCCAATTCCAATCATGAAAATCTGCGATATACAATATTAAACCTGTTTAACAAACTCAACTCTGTGGAAAATTAGTTACAACTTAAATCCGAAAGCTCGAGTTTTAGATAAGTCTCAATGACAGCTTAGACCTGAGTCTTAGGTCGATAAAAGCAAGTATTTAAATCGCGACAAATTCCTTTATTAAAAGTTTATTTCTTGTAAATATCACAATCAGCTGAAGATCTCTGGGTACAGATATCATCATTAGTATCCTCGGAGAACTCAGGGTCTAGGACGAGTCCTGATCCGTCCATCAGGTTGAACAGGTTACAGTAGTTGGTTCCGTAGTCCAGGATGGAGAAGGTTTGGGAGCGGGAGTAAGCCTAAATAGTCATACATATTTTTTTTCAGAAAAATACGGGAACAAAAAGTAATATAAAACTAAAGTAAATAATAATAATAATAAAACTGTGCATAGTGAGAACCAGAAAACTCTGGAATAGTAAGACGTCTTTTTGACTGAATTTATGACTCTAAATAGTCCAACGAATATGATACAAAGATGTTAGGCAATTTGCCATGAAACAACTTGCCAGGTGGCTCTTTGCCAGTTGACAAAGTTGCCAGGAAACCATTTTGCCACATAAACTTTGCCATATGACTACTTTGCCAGTTGACAAATTTGCCAATTGACAATTTTGCCAGTTGTGCAGAGTAAGCAAACCCATTGAACTTAAAAAGTGATTTTAATGGGTTTTCTAGTAAAACTATTTGTTTTGTATCAACATCAAATATTTGCTATAATGCCGTCTTCCTATTTTACTCTCAACTCGGGCATCTTTGTCTTTTTATTATTGATAAAAAAGTATTAGGTATAAAGTTAAGATGGTGGTATAAACAGTAGAAAACTTTATAAAGCCAGGAAGACTACAGAATACAAATACTTGAGATTATTGCAATAAATAAAAAAAGGTCGAAAAGACCGCTAAAAGCAAAGAAATGTTTCACTTTACAATAATTGCATAGACATCCTGCACAAGGCTATGTATCTTAGAAAAATAAAATAAAAATCAAATAAATATGAATTATGAGTTGGACATTTTTAATTGGTATTGCCACAGAGTGTTAATTCTCTGAAAATATGACCTAACATTTTTAACACTTCAGAATATTCTTTTGATAAAAAGAAAAAAACAAAGAAGACAATGACTAACTTTGTAAATTTTCTTTAAAATAAAGGAAAGTCCAAACTTTTAAATTTTAAATACACCCTAAAGATCGTTAAACTAGAAAGAAAATGTTTGAGAAAAGAAAAGATGCTTACATCAACCAGACAGGTAGGAGCAGATCCAGAGATAAATGTGAACTTGAGATCGTCCACGTATCTATGGATTGGAGTGGTGTGGGTTCCCTCGGTTACTTCACCGTTGGATCCTGTGTGCTTATACAAACATTTCTGTCCGTTGGGTTTATCATCTCCAGGCTTAGTTCCACAGTCCTTAATTGTACATGGAGTATATTATTTTGTTCTTAATTGTACAATGTACATGGAGTAAATTATCTAGTTCTTAATTGTACATGGAGTAAATTATCGAGTTCTTAATTGTACATGGAGTAAATTATCTAGTTCTTAATTGTACATGGAGTAAATTATCGAGTTCTTAATTTTACATGGAGTAAATTATCGAGTTCTTAATTGTACATGGAGTAAATTATCTAGTTCTTAATTGTACATGGAGTAAATTATCTAGTTCTTAATTGTACATGGAGTAAATTATCTAGTTCTTAATTGTACGTGGAGTAAATTACCTAGTTCCTAATTGTACATGGAGTAAATTATCTAGTTCTTAATTGTACATGGAGTAAATTATCTAGTTCTTAATTGAACATGGAGTAATTATCTAGTTCTTAATTGTAGATGAAGTAAATTAACCAGTCCTTAATTGTACATGAAGTAAATTATCCCGTTTTTAATTGTACATGGAGTCTGATCAATGATCTATTTACCTCATTATCCCAGGCGATCATCTGATCAATGATCTATTTACCTCATTATCCCAGGCGATCATCTGATCAATGATCCATTTACCTCATTATCCCAGGCGATCATCTGATCAATGATCCATTTACCTCATTATCCCAGGCGATCATCTGATCAATGATCTATTTACCTCATTATCCCAGGCGATCATCTGATCAATGATCTTCTGTTGAACAGTATCACAACTCTCGGACAGAGTCCTCAAATAATGGAATTAAATCTCCCTGTTTAGAAAATAAGTAAAGGGATACGGTGTGGGTAGAAAACGTCGATTATCCAAACGTCTATTATCAGAACGTCGAATAAAAAAACGTCGAAATTACAGGATACAGGATGAACCAAAACTAAACTAGGAATCGACTGCACATTTTTTTGAACAAATTATTCACGCTCCGCGGAAACGAAAATTGTTTGTGTCTTCTGCAATTTGGACATTGGAAGTTAAGTGACAACATGGAAATCATTTTCAATATTTGATAACTAAATAATTACAGGTTCTATGTTTTCAAACATATATAGATAATTTTGGATACAGGGTGTCCCACTAGACATTACAGTTTGAGTGACGACTAAATTGTCGTCTTTGATATTATCTAAAAAGTTTAGCGACTTACAAGCTTTATCTAGAACTTAAAAGATGTGTTTACTTTTTCGTTACACAATTTTTATCTAGGATATATATCAAATGAATTAAAACGACATTTTAGTCGTGTCTAAACTTTTATGTTTAACGGGCTGCCATGTATCTATGTATTTAAAGTAGTAATCTCTGTTTGTCTGTTTGGACTTTGGATGTCCGATTGTAACTCAGGAAACCCTGGACTGATCGGCTTCAAAGTTTGATTGGGAACACATTAGAACCCGTAAATGTTTTAAATAATTCTAAGTTGAGCGGGTTGACTTTTATAGGGTAAACTATCAGTGAAGCTGGATTCCTGATAATATGAAACTTGCAAAAAAATATGAATATCTCAATCATTTCTAAATCAAACTGATGTACAACTGCAGTACACTATATGTACCATTTTACGGAGCAATCAGCGTGGAATGGGTCCTTGGGAGCTTGTGGAGCTGACAGGACGGAGCTGACAAGAACAGCGCTGACAACTGCGGAGAAGAGCATTATGATAAAGATGATGAAGTATCACTGAATAATTTCCTGCATAAAAACGTTTATATTGACTTTTTCTTATCTTTTGTTTGTATAATAAACATCAGTCCATTTATTAAGTAATTCTCTTTTCTTACAAAATATGAACATTTTGACTTTATCATGATGGAAAATTATTTTTCAGAAATTGTGGAGAGCGAGTTCATCATGTAGCAAACGGTATAAACCCATTGAAAACTGTATAAAATTAAAAATACATAAAATGCATACACAGCATGCTCGAAATAAACAAGTGTCAAAAAACATAAGAATACAAGGACTATATCTATATAATAAAACAAGATATGTTGCCTATAGCCGGCCAAACGGCTGGACCGAATGGGCTGAAACTTTTTGTGGACACTCAGAGGTGATGGGGGGGATGTTTTAGGCAAAAAATAGACATTTTTTCGTCATTTAAAAAACAAATTTCAATATTTTCCACGGGCAACGCCGGGCCCTTCAGCTAGTATTTAATATTTACGATAGTTTTTAACCATCAGGAGCGTAAACAGGTATTAGTCAAGGGAGGGCTGAATGCGGGGGGAGGGGTGGCTAAGACAGTTATAATACACACTCGAACTTTATCTTGTACGTAACTGTAGATTTTTCTTATATTCTATCTGTGTTAAAACATTGAAGGTTAATTACGCGTAAAACTTAAAAATAGATTGCTATAAAATAGATTGCTATAAAATAGATTGCTATAAAATAGATTGCTATAAAATAGATTGCTATAAAATAGATTGCTATAAAATAGATTGCTATAAAATAGATTGCTATAAAATAGATTGCTATAAAATAGATTGCTATAAAATAGATTGCTATAAAATAGATTGCTATAAAATAGATTGCTATAAAATAGATTGCTATAAAATAGATTGCTATAAAATAGATTGCTATAAAATAGATTGCTATAAAAGCCAAGAAATGTTACAGACTTAAACCATTGTGCTTATTTATTTAATTTGTAAGCGTCAGAAAGATTAATTGCATTTATTGACGCTATATTGTATTTGTATATTGTATAGCGTATATGTATATTGACGCTATATATTGTATTTGTGTATTGTATAATAGGAATACAGAAGGATTAAAATGTATATGTATATTGACGCTATATATTGTATTTGTGTATTGTATAATAGGAATACAGAAGGATTAAAATGTATATGTATATTGACGCTATATATTGTATTTGTATATTGTATAATAGGAATACAGAAGGATTAAAATGTATATGTATATTGACGCTATATATTGTATTTGTATATTGTATAATAGGAATACAGAAGGATTAAAATGTATATGTATATTGACGCTATATATTGTATTTGTATATTGTATAATAAAAAGACAGAAGGATTAAAATGTATAAAGTGTAGCTATATTGTATTTGTATATTGTATAATAGGAATACAGAAGGATTAAAATGTATATGTATATTGACGCTATGTATTGTATAATAGGAATACATCTAATATAAAAGAAGTATAATTAGTGGGTGTTGTAGACGGATCAATTTTATCATGTTTAATTCAAGGGAAATAATTTACGCAGGGTTTCATTTGACAATATTACGAGTTCTACAGGGTCTCATTTTATAGTATTACGTATTCTGCAGGGTTGCATTGATAAAGTACATATATTATCTAAATATATCTTAAACTTATGTTTCGGAATAAAAAAACATGAAGGATGGGATGTATTGTACATATGTGAATGAGTAAGTATAATAAAAAAACATGAAGGATGGGATGTATTGTACATATATGAATCAGTAAGTATAATAAAATTAAGTTGTGGAGAATATAATCTCCCCTGACACCGGGCATTTAAAGAGCAGAGGTATAGGTTGGGGGAAATCCTTGGTCCGTAACGTTTGTCGGAAACCCGGGGGAATGGGACGGATATCGATCCTTCTCCGGGTCTCCGCAGAACCAGGGAGAAATGGATCGATATAGAACTAGTAGCGTTAGCTCCAGTCTAGTAGGTTTAGTGCTGAGGGAATGGTTGGAGAAGAGAAGGTTTAAACTATGGAAGGAACAACAACACTGCCTATTGTAGAAGATGAGCAGAACCTGTATGACTGGGGTATAGAGAACAGGCTGGGTGAGTGGTGAACCATAATTTCTGACTAGGGTTGGATATCGTTCTTGAGATCTTTTTAAGTTCTTTGTTACGCAAATTCTGCGTTATATAGTTTCTTCGTTAATTGAGTACAAAGAGTAATTTCTTTGTTAGATCTCTGTATAGTTTCATCCTTGGGTTGTTTCTCATATTTCAAAATTAACATTTTACGATTTTCTTATATTTAGATCAATACTATAACGATGATCAGAGCACAGGAGATTCCTACCCGGAGCCAGAGTATCCAACTCAAACCAATCCTACCCAACCCATCCAGCTCAAGGAGTATAATAAAGAGTATCCAGGGACGTATAGAGAGTATAGAGCTCCTCCTCCGGCCCACCAGGAGAGAACCCTAGCCCCGACTCTGTACAGGGATAGGGTTAAGGAGGAACCAGGACTTGATATGTCAGGATGGAACCAGGTAAGAATTAGGACAAAATTATTTGGATGACAGGGAGGATATATTTGATATGTGTCAGTATTTAACCTGGAGAAATGTTAGGATAGAACCTCTGGAGATATATTAGTGTACAACCTACATATATATATATATATACTAGGATATAGCCTGGAGATATATTAGTGAACAACCTACATATACATATATATACTAGGATATAGCCTGGAGATATGGTGGATAAAACATGGAGTTTTATCAGGATGGAACCTGGAGATATGTTAGGATAGAACCTGGAGATAATTAGGATAGAACCTGGATATGTGTCTGGATAGAACCAGGAGATATTTTAGTATACAACCTGGATATATGTCAGGATAGAATCTGGAGATATTTTGAAATATAGAATTAGGAGATATATTAGCATAGAACTTGGAGACATGTGAGGTTAGAATCTGGAGATATATCAGAATAGAACCTGGATATATATCAGAATAGAACCTGGAGATATATCAGGATAGAACTTAGAGATATATTAGAAAATAATTTGGAGATATGTGAGGTTAGAATCTGGAGATATATCAGAATAGAACCTGGAGATAAGTCAGGATAGAACCTGGAGATATATCAGGATAGAACTTAGAGATATATTAGGATATAACCTGGAGATATGTGAGGTTAGAACCTGGAGATATATCAGGATAGAGCCTGGAGATATATCAGGATAGAACTTGGAGATATATCAGGATAGAGCCTGGAGATATATCAGGATAAACCTAGAGATATATCAGGATAGAACATGGAGATATATCAGGATAGAACCTCCAGAAAAGTAAGGATAGAACCTGGAGATAAGTGAGGATAGAAGCTGAAGATATTTCAGGATAGAACCTGGAGATAAGTCAGGATAGAACCTGGAGATATATCAGGATAAAACCTAGAGATATATCAGGATGGAACCTGCAGATAAGTCAGGATAGAACCTGGAGATAAATCAGGATAGAACCTAGAGATAAGTCAGGATAGAACCTGGAGATATTTCAGGATAGAACCTCAAGCTAAAATGCGTAATAAGAAATTGAGTTGAAGTCAAAAAAAATTGTTAAGATACAATTTCGGAGATGTAAAATATTTTTAGATTATCCTACCAATATAATGAAGACGACTTTTATATTAAAGTTTATATTGTTTACAATCTTTTTAGAATTATAAGCTTACAAGTAATTTAAGAGAAGGTTTTTTAATTGACAATTTCTCTTTGTTTCCATTTTTTTGTGTATCTATGCTGTGTGAAAGCTTGATATAAATAAAAATTTATGTTGAAAGTCGTCTTAATTGTATTGATATAATCGCCTACCACCGTATTTAAAAAAGTTTCAAGTATTCTTAAATTCCAGGAAAAATATTTTGCTATATTTAACCTGAGCTGATCACTTTTGAAAGATTAGAACTTATTAAAATCAATTCCAACGAGCTGAACTAATTGTCTCCTGTCCTGTGTTTGGAGATAGATAGGTTGGGTTGAAGACAAATATTCTACTTGAAATGATTTTAACCTAAATTTTTTTACATTAGGCTCAGTTTAGAGCATATCGTCAATCTGGTCTCCCTAGGCAACAACCGGCTTTCAGTATTGATGCTAACGAAGCTCTTAAGGTAGATCTTGAAAATAAAAATATTTTTTTAATCTGAATCTTGTTCTTTTTCATCTAAACCTTTTATTTCTCCAGGTTGAGCGGAAAAGAGCTCGGAACCGTGTAGCAGCCAGTAAGTGTAGGATGAGGAAGATGGAGAAGATTGCAACCTTGGATCAGCAGGCTAATGTGCTGAGGCAGGAGAACGAGGAGCTGGCCAACCTAACCTTGAAGCTCAAGGAGCAGGTTTACAAGCTGCAGCAGGAGCTCCAATGGCATATTAACAATGGTTGCGAGTTGGGAGGGAGAGCAAGCACCGTCCTGTCGGAGAGTGAGACGGAGCTGGGTCCCAAACTCAGCCCGGAGTTGGCTAGTCCTGACTCTACAACCCTACCCGGGGTAATGAGTCCTATCCAGGATAAGGATGAGGTGATTTTATCCTGAACCTGAACCCAGTGCTGCAAACTTCCAGTCAGCACAATAAAATTTTTAAATATTTATAATAATCAGCTAATTTTTATAACTGATCGATTTTTCTATGAAGGATGAAAAATATTTTTAATACAACTATTTACAAATGATAGAACCGTGAATATCTTTCACAAAATGATATGCAAACCAATTAAATGTACAAACTGTGAATATACTTTTCTATGAACTAGTCCAGTGTGCCTGCTGTAAAATATATTTATATACATTTATAAAATAGTTTTTTTTTCTAATGTAGATAGATAGATTGTAGAAGTACGGAATAGGATACAGACTAACACTGATACCGTTCTATAGTAAACAAAGCAGATTACAGAAATTAGGGGGATAAAAGATAGATAGATAGATAGATAGATAGATAGATAAATAGATAGATATTTAGATAACAGAGAGAAAGAGGGAAATGTAGAAGAACGGGCGAACCAAGAAAGAAAGACACAGGAGGGAAAGGAAGAAAGGTAAGATTGAGAGAGGAAAGTGAATGAAGAAAGGAGGACAAGAGAAGATTGGGAAAGGAGAAAAGTGAAAAGGAGACAGAGAGAGCGAAAAAGAGAGGAGGAGGAAAAGTAAAAAGATAGATAGAGGAGAGGGGGGAGAAAATTTGGGAGGGAGGGACAGAGAGGGAGGGAAAGGGAGAGAAACGAAAGAGAAGGGAAGGAAGAATGTTGATGAGATAAGTAGTAGGGGCCAGGGGGGCTTAAAAAGAGATAAAGAAATATAGCGTTAAAATGTTATACGGATAGTATAAACTAATCTCACATTAATAAGAAATAATATTTGATTATTTTGGACGAAACATATGAAATAAATTTGTATGTATATTTGTGTCGAATGCAGATACATAAAATAAATCTATAAATCCTAAGGCAGAGAACATTAAAAGACGTATTGGAAAGAATAAATATTCTTTTGAAAAGAATATTTAATGATTGTGTATCTATTATTATTCGTTTGTTGTACATAGGGGATACATTATATTAATACAATTGATGAGAGTTTATGCTGGTTGGACCTTTCTCAGCCGTCCTTCCAGGTTCAGGTTCTCTTCTCTCTACCTGCTTTTTGTAAACATTCCTTAAACCTTTCCCTACCTTAGAGGCTACGCGGAGTAGGAGATTTCCGCCCTATCTAATTATGGTTTAGGATTTTAGATCCTAAATTACAGGAAAGGAAAACTTTAAATCAGTTCCAACCGAAATTTAAAGAATAAAAAATGAGATTCAAAGTTTGGAGTCATCCTATCGAGATATCATATTCTACAACTTTGCTGTCAAAGGTAAATAGTTTTTTTTTTCAAAACTTAAAATTTTATTTTCTTTATTTAGGCGACATTGTTCTACGTTGTGTCTAGTTTACTAACTGTTGTTCCTCCGCTTATTATTGCTTATCGAAGTCAAGGATTCTGGATCAAATCTGCAACATACTCGGAGCAACCTGATATACACTTCAAACATACTCTCATAGGTATATTGGATTATATGATAGTGCACTGATGGCCTGACTTATTGGACATCTTTAGAAGTTTTCACTACCCTATGTCCTGTCCCAGTTAACAATATTAACAATATTCGAGACCGAATTTAAAGAATTTGAGCAGCGGCTTAAATTGAAACCGCGGCTCAAATATGGTTGCTTCCACTTAAAATTGTATTAAATTCAAGATTTAAGCCAGCGCTCAATTGAAACCGGTTTTTGGGGGATTTGAGACGCGGCATAAATTCATTAAATTCGGACATCGTTCTCCTAATTCTCCAAGTCCTAAGAATGGTCCTCAAGATTTTTTTTGAGAACCTACCTACCTACGTACCTTCCTACCTAACTATCTACCTACCTACCTACCTACCTACATACCTACCTACATACCAACCTACCAACCATAGAGTAATAAAACGAAGAGGTGAAGCTTAGCTCAGATGTACACAACCGACCTGTCTATTAATTAATTAATAGACAGGTCGGTTGTGTACATCACGATATGTTTACACTGTACACTTGTATATAGAGTATTTCTTGGTGGGTTTCATAAAATTGACAAATTTTTAGATTTTCTTTCTTTATTCAAAGAGAATTCGAGGATGTTGACTGCAAACGTTTGACAATTTTTAAATACCCAGGTTTTCAATTACAACTTGAGAGATATACTCTGGAGTCTCCCATCCTTAAATGGTCTAGCCATGCACAATTTTTTGGTATTTTGAAAAAAAAACATTTTTACAAGAAAAAATGTTTGTGAAATGCAAAATTTGGTAATACTTTTATTAACATAAACAAACAACTGAACTGGATTGTACTGCAGTATACAATCCTGTGTTTACAATCCAAATTAAGTGTCTATCTAATTATCAATACTAATATTCAAATATCTACATAAAACCACCCCTTATGAAATACGATCACTCTATATACAAGTGTACAGCGTAAGATACGTAAACATATCGTGATGTATACAACCGACCGCTCTATTAATTAATTAATAGGGAGGTTGGTGGTGTACATCTGAGCTAAGCTTCACCTCTTCGTTTTATTACTCTATGCTACAAACCTACTTACCTACCTACCTACCTACCTACCTACCTACCTACCTACTAACGCTGTGAATATGAGCCCCTTTTTTAATGGAGGACCGAACCCCTTGAAATTACAACAGACAGTTCCTTAAAGAGACTGTAAAGGAAAAATGAAAGGGGGTATAGTATACTGGTCACGTGTCTCCGCCTGTATCACGTGACCACTTTACTGCACTGCCATTGGTGGAATTTCTGGTCAAGTAATACGGACATATAAATAATATTATGAATTAAATCTATTAAAAATAGAAATAACAAATATAAAATTAGAATTGGAGAAAACGTAGGTTACAATTAGCTTTCTCTGGGATATCATCGTTTTCAGATTGGTTGCTTATTTGCTGAATTTGATCTATCTAAACCCACTACTTTTATACAAAATTGTATATACATTAATTTTCGTATAAATTTGACAAAGTTGTATATCAATTTCTCGAGATATGAACATCAGATATAACTTTCATGGGTCGCGATCTAGAGCTAAAGTGATTAGCTTTCAGCCTATACCCCCTTTCATTTTTCCTTTACAGTCCCTTTAACCATCAACCTGGAACTCCTTTAGACCATGTTCTGTGGATTGAATTCAGGTTTCTGTATTACAGTTTCAACATTAGGGTTACAGTAAAACAGAAATTTTGTATCCTACCCTCTTCTTGGGTTTCCCTGAATTATAAACTAATACGTTGTATCATAAAATGCTATTAGTAAAAATAAAATTCAGGGTAAGAAATGTGTTTTTAGTAATTCTGGAGAAAAGTGACGGGACGGATTTAATCTGGAGCAGTCGAGAATCCGACCTGGAGCTAGAGGGAGATAGGGTTCGTATCCCCGTGATCAGATCAAGGGAGGAGGATGGGAACAGAGACGGGGTTCTGGACTCTCTCTGGTTGAACCTAGAGATGCCAATGGATGGTTCGGAGGAGATAACCGGGGTTCAGGCTCTTCTCCTCTTCGATTACAAGCTAAAAAGGTATTTTATATTTTCAATGTCTTTAATTTATATCTTTGACTGCAATTCCAGAGCAGGATAGGAATCAGGTTGCAAAATTATTTGTAGATACAGTGACAGTAGAAAGTTCTAACCTCTATTCTTCTTCCTTTAGTTCTATATCTTCTCGATGGATTGACACACAATCATTTTCAGATTCAGCTACTTCGAGATGACCGGCCTTGTATATCTCACTGGTCAAGGAAGCGCAGGTAGAAGTTTTCAATGCTCCGGAGATATTCAGCTGATTCAGAGACAACCTTTGTCCCATAGAGGCCGGGATTCAAGATATATAGAGTCTCCTCTAGCAGGAGAACCACCGCTACATCTAGCGGAGATATTAAGAAACTACGGAGCCCGAAATATCTCGCTCCGGGTGGAGAACAGCTATAGTGTATGGAGGCGAGGTACTGGAGTAGAGAACTTTGTTCTGGAACTAAACCTCAACTATCCGTCTCAGACAGTAGAATATATACCAGGGTTCTGGCAGACTATTAAGGGGGGATGGATTCAGTATTTATCCGTTCTTGTCGTATTTATTTATTTATTTAACTCAATCAAAACATTTGTTTTCTCTCAGCAGATTCTACCAACAATCATAGAAACCCCCTGGAAACAATAAAATCAATATTCTTTACAAATAGAATGAAAAAATAAAATAACCTACAACATTTTTCTGATATTTATTGATTAAATTGACAACATTTTAGTCAACAAAAATGGGTAAAAATGAGTTTGCTAGATGGCATGGAAAGACAAATGTACAAATATTGTTTCCTAAAGTGTTTATTACATTTTTTCAGAATTATAACTGTTTAAGGAACTGCCTGTTGTAATTGTGTATGTACAGGGTGTCTCAACCCAGAAGCTGATGGCCAGCTTTATTTCTAAATCAGTTGCTTTTTTTGGACATTAAAATTAGATTTGAAAAAAGTAATCTTTTATCATGTTTGTAGCATATTATTTCACGTTTAAAGTACAGGAAATCAAAAGACTTTAGTTTGAAAAAAAATATTTCTTTATCTTGTTTGCAAAATTAGATTGAACATGTCAGCTGTGTTGATGACTCCAAAAAAAAAAAAATGGTTGAAATCTGTAAAAAAAAAATTAAAATGCATCAGAGGAGTTCTCAAACCTAAAACTTGAAAATATTTTTTACAAACTTGATACCATTTTTGTTGCCTCATTAATTTGCAAATAAATCATATAAAATCTTATTTTTTATCAATCTTATTTATGTCCAAACAACGAAAATCCGTTCAGAATTGAGGCTTGGCATCAACTACTATACTGTGTCTAAGAATATCAAATATTGTTTTGTATTTTCACAAATTGTTTACAAAAATTAAAAAATTGTGATATCTTCATTTATAAGTATAAAAAGCAAAGAACGAATAAAAATATTTCAAACTTGGTAAAGTACGTAAATTTTACAAACAAAAATAGTCTTCTTTAATGACTTTTTGTAATATCAACAAAAACAAGGTATCAAAGTCGAATAGCTAAAAGTAGTTTTTGTTAAAAATTTTCAACAGAAAACTGGTTTAAAGATTACTTGTTTAATTTAGTTCAGGTATTTATGTGCAGAAATCTGTGCAGATTGTTGCAAATTGCTCCGTTCTGCGAACCCAGCCAGAGTTCTCTTGTGATCCTAGGATAAGGAGATTCAATAAACATACGCCTAAGACATCTTCCTTTGCGCTATATCCCATTCACAATGGTACCATTCAAAACTTGATTTATTGATTTCTGAAAGAGACACAATGGTAGAAAAATGAATGAATTTACATCTGAACAAAATGAGGATATTCTCCTAGATCAATGTTAATTGTTAAACAAAGAAAACATATTGTGTGAATTTTACACAGTGCTCCAATTGCCGATTGGATCAGCTTCAAATATACAAAAACCAAAACTGATTGCAGATTAGTCTTAAAGACTATTCAAATGGCGGCCTCTCAGGCCTTACTTACCTGGCAAAATGTAATTTTCTGATCATTTTGTGGAACTATTCTGACGAGAGCAAGCTTGATTATATGTTGTTGCTCTGAGAGCAAGATCTCTAGTTTTCTATTCTCCTCCTGCTGCTCTGAGAGCTCAAGCTTCAAGGTTCCAATTTTCTTCTCCAGGTTTAGATTCAGCTGTCTCAGCTGGGTTTGGTTTAGTTTATGAGTTTTTAGCTCCGAACTCGTAGTTAAACATTTCTCACATTCCTCCACTTTCAAGGATTTTTCTTCCTTCAGAGATGCCAGATCACGCTGAAATTATTCTTTTATTTGATAACAAATTTTCTTTTATGAAATTTTTAAATATTCTGTTATTTTTATTCTTGTCATCAAATTTTCCTTCTTTATTCTTTATTTTCTTCAGTTATTGGCTAAATTCTTTTATTGCATAATCTCGATAGTTTTTAGAAAATTTTGAAAATTATTTTAACTAAATGCATTTTAGTTTAGGTTAAGTTTTTCAGTTTTGTAAGATGTTTTAATTTTTGTCAAAATTTAGGATTTTAAACTAAAAACTGTTTTAAAAGTTTTTAATATTTCTTGCTCTTCAAACAAATGGAGATTTGACAAGGATGAATATTTTTAGAAAGAATATTTGGAATATAAGAACTGAAAGAATATTGGAATATAAGAACTGAAAGAATATTGTAAGATAAGAACTGAAAGAATATTGGAAGATAAGAACTAAAAGAATATTGGAATATAAGAACTGAAAGGAATTAGATCATTTTATTTTAAGTTTATTAATGGAGTTGTTTTCACATAATCAAATCATTTATTACAATGTTTAACTTGAAATCTAAAAGATCCACAGAGCATTAGGAATTCACGCATATTTTTTTGTAGCCCTAGACTTTTACATTTTGATACTAAAGCACGCTTGCTCTTAGTTTTGGTTTAAGAGAAATAATTTGTAAAACGCTTAGAGAAGTTTGTATGAGAGTTTGCACTCTTTGGATTACAGTGATTAAGGTATTTAATTTAAACCACAGTTTCTTGTCTTATTCTTATTCTTAAATTAAGACTTTTACCTTATGAAGTTTCAAGGATGTCTCCAGTTCTTTAATCTTATCTTTTAGAACCTTATTCTCATCAGTCCTATCCGTCCCGTCCTCATTCATTTCATCTTCTATCGATAAGCTGGAAATAAAAATATTATGCAGTGATGAACCAGAAAACTGTTAATTAGGAACAAGACTTTTATGACTTTGAATAGTCCAATGAACATGAGATATAGGAATGTTTGTGCAGTGCACACAGACCGATTTTTCTTAATGAGTGATTAAATAAGATGCAGTGCACACATCAAAGCCACTTATTAGAAAGGAAATATTTACAGATTTATGAAATGTATTTTTTAGTTTACAGAATATTATTGAGAATTGATAAATGACAATAAATGTATAATTTTATTACTTTTACTTCGCTTACACCTACTTCTGCTGACTTCTCTACTTTCTCTTTCTTCTATCTTCCCTTTTCTCTTTACTTCTTTTCCCCACATCATATATTCGATTTATTTCCGTTCTCCTCCTTTTCCAGATTCTTATCTTCTTATTATCTCCTCTTTCTCATTTTTCCTCCATCTAGTTTTCTCCTTCTCTTCTTTTCTCTTCTTTCTCTTTTTTCATCTTTCTCCTTTTTCTCCTCTTCCTCCTTTTTCCTGCAGCTAGTCTTCTCCTTCTCTTCATTTTCTCCTCTTTCTCTTTTTTCTTCTTTTTCTCCTTTATCTTCTTTTGCTCCTCTTTCTCCATTTTCTCCTTCTTCTCCTTCTTCTCCTCTTTCTTCTTTTTGTTCTCTTTCTTCTTTCTCATCTTTCAACTCTTTCTCCTCTATCTCCTCTTTCTTCTCTTTCTCCTTTCTCATCTTTTAACTCTTTTTCCTCTACCTCCTTTTTCTCCTCTATCTCCCCTTTCTTCTCTTTCTCTTCTTTCTCTCTCTCCTCCTTCTCCCCATTTCCCCCAACCGCTTCCCCCCCCCCCCCATTAAGTTTAGTTCCTTCAGTCTTGTCTTTGTAAGTTTTATAACCAGGAATGTAAAATGTCAACTTTAACAGCATGGATTCAATTCACTTCTCAGGGTACATTTTACATACAAACTGGGTGTACACTGCAGATACTCGTAGAACTAAAGAAAAGTATGATTAAAACTATGACTAAGACGTGTTTCTAACCTGGAAGAGCTGGAACTTCCTTTAACTTTGCTCCCAATCTGTGTATCCATCCTATGTATCTTGGTTGGGTTGGTTTGTATCCCCTGTATCTTTGTGTTGTTATTCATTAAATCCTGAAAAGTGTGTATCTATACTTATCGGTATGTTTAAATAAAATCTTCAACTTTGAAACTTTACGAAACGATTTTTGAAGTCGAACACTTTATTATAATTATCAACTAAATAATATGCAAAAATGGAATCGAGTCTTTGTTACAAACTCTGATTTTATAATACCTTTCTCTTTGCAACCCAACGTCGTAAACCTTGGCTTTATATAACTATTAGTTGTGTGGGTCAAATAATCTTAGTTTGAAATATCAAAGGTTTACACTGTCATGCAGGTTGCAATGATATAGGGATCATAAAATTTTAGTTTGTGGCAAAGACTCAATTCCTATTGTTAAATTATTGATTATTTTATCACATGGTTATATTTATTATATTATTAGTTACTTTATAGATTACATTCAATAACAAATGTCTAACATGTTTTTATATTTGACTAACAAGGATGAAGGGGGGGGGGTGATTCTGCATTTATAAATCTATCGTTTTGCCTCAATCGACAAGAATAAGGGATGGGGGATGGGGATCGTACAATTGTGTTTGTCAGTACTGTGCAATACATTTCTGCAGTCCAGAGTAGCATAGTATCGCCTGCGTGTGCGCCTATATGTATTCAACTTCCATGAAATGCATCTGACATCGGATTTTAGGATGTTTTTTAAATTGACAAGAGATCAAATTTCAAATAGGGGTATCAATTATTCATGACCTTCAGAAGTAAAAGTTCACAATCCACAAGCGATTCACAACGGTAGACTTTAAACCTGTACACCAGGGGCGTATTTAGGAATTTGTCTGGGGGGGGGGCTTAAATTTTTTTCTCTTTCCAGGGGGGGGGGCTCAGCACCCGTTGGGGCCAGAAAATCCCCTGAAATCAATAGATTTCACTGGTCCAGGGGGGCTTAGCCCCTATAGCCCCCCCCCCTGAATACGCCTCTGACCTGTACCTATAATCATGAGATGAAATGAAATCCGTCCTTTTCTCGGTAAATATCAAGAGTCGGAAAACCGGAAAACTCGTGATTAGGAATTATAGAAAATTACGATTTTGGCGAGTTAGTTTCTTTCAGATCCATCGAACATTTTGTGTGTGTGAAAATCTCTCTCCTTTTCATAACGATTCCCCCCTATATTTGCATTTAGACTTTCTTGCCTTGTTAGTCAGGGTCTTCCAACCCAATACATTAATTCTCAAATATAAAAGTCACTCTGAGAGCTTGTTGGTATACAACCCACCTTGATATTTTGATCCGCCTCCCTCCTTCCAACCCGTGGAAAGTTGAGTAAGTAGAGGAGGGAGAGAAACCCAGCTCCAACTGCAAACCAAACCATCTCAAGAAAACTTAACATTTTTATCTAGAACTCCTTCCTAAACAAAATGGAGATCAAACTTAAAATTGGAGATAAAAATTAATCTTGTATTCAAAGAAGGAAGTATAAGACCACTTGAATTTGAAAGAAGTTTGTTTGGTATGAAATCGTTGAGAAAGAATCTAGAACAGAGCGTCCCATATCATATTAGATTATCTCCAAGCTTTAACAACAAAATGAACACATAATACTCAAAAACCTAGCATTTTCTGCAAGATAATTTTTATATTAGCCTGATTTATTATTTCAAAATGATTCATTCTCCTAAAATTTTCTGATTAGTCATTATAATCGTAGTTTAGACCCCATTATGATGTGGGACACCCTGTATCTGTAAAATAAATCTTTAATACAGACGAAGAAGGTAAAATGTCAGTTGGGAGCAAAAAGTAATTTTAAATCAAGATTTTTAGTATATGAAGGTTTAGAATATTTAGACACAGAAACATGCAGGTTTCACTCCCTTCTCCTTAGATGTTTTAAATATTAAGGCCGGGATAGAACCTCACTCCCTAGCTACAGTTAACTTTACTGCTTGAGTAGATAGAACCTCACACCCTGGATACAAAGAAATTTACTACTTGAGTAGATATAACTTTACTCCCTGGCTACATAGAACTTTACTACCTGAGCAGATAGAACCTCACTCCCTGGATACAAAGAAATTTACTACTTGAGTAGATATAACTTTACTCCCTGGCTACATAGAACTTTACTACTTGATTCACTCCCTGGGTACAGAGAACTTTACTACTTGAGTAGATATAACTTCACTCCCTGGTTACAAGAACTTTACTCCATGAGTAGATAGAACTTTACTCCCTGGGTACAGAGAACTTTACTACTTGAGTAGATAGAACCTTACTCCCTGGATACATAGAGTAGATAGAACCTCACTCCCTGGGTACATAGAACTTTACTACTTGAGTATATAGAACCTCACTCCCTGGGTACAGAGAACTTTACTACTTGAGTATATAGAACCTCACTCCCTGGGTACATATAACTTTACTACTTGAGTAGATATAACTTCACTCCCTGGGTACAGAGAACTTTATTACTTGAGTAGATATAACTTCACTCCCTGGGTACATAGAACTTTACTACTTGAGTAGATAGAACCTCACTTCCTGGGTACATTGAACTTTACTACTTGAGTAGATATAACTTCACTCCCTGGATACATAGAACTTTATTACTTGAGTAGATAGAACCTCACTCCCTGGGTACATTGAACTTTACTACTTGAGTAGATAGAACTTCACTCCCTGGTTACAGAGAACTTTACTACTTGAGTAGATAGAACCTCACTCCCTGGGTACAGAGAACTTTACTACTTGAGTAGGTAGAACTTCACTCCCTGGGTACAGAGAACTTTACTACCTGAGTAGATAGAACTTCACTCCCTGGTTACAAGTACTTTACTCCATGAGTAGATAGAACTTTACTCCCTGGGTACAGAGAACTTTACTACTTGAGTAGATAGAACCTCACTCCCTGGGTACAGAGAACTTTACTACTTGAGTAGATATAACTTCACTCCCTGGGTACATAGAACTTTACTACTTGAGTAGATAGAACCTCACTCCCTGGATACAAGTACTTTACTCCATGAGTAGATAGAACTTTACTCCTTGGGTACAGAGAACTTTACTACTTGAGTAGATAGAACCTCACTCCCTGGGTACGAGAGAACTTTACTACTTGAGTAGATATAACTTCACTCCCTGGGTACATAGAACTTTACTACTTGAGTAGATAGAACCTCACTCCATGGATACAGTGAACTTTACTACCTGAGTAGACAGAACTTCACTCCCTGGGTACAGAGAACTTTACTACTTGAGTAGATAGAACTTCACTCCCTGGTTACAAGAACTTTACTCCATGAGTAGATAGAACTTTACTCCCTGGATACAGTGAACTTTACTGCTTGAGTATATAGAACCTCACTCCCTGGATACATAGAACTTTACTTCTTGAGTAGATAGAACTTTACTCCCTGGGTACAGAGAACTTTACTACTAGAGTAGATAGAACTTCAATCCCTGGGTACAGAGAACTTCACTACTTGAGTATATAGAACTTCACTCCCTGGGTACAGAGAACTTTACTATTTGAGTAGATAGAACCTCACTCCCTGGGTACAAAGAACTTTACTATTTGTGTAAATAGAACCTTACTCCCTGGGTACATTGAACTTTACTACTTGAGTATATAGAACCTCACTCCCTGGATACATAGAACTTTACTACTTGAGTAGATAGAACTTTACTCCCTGGGTACCTAGAACTTTACTACTAGAGTAGATAGAACCTCACTCCCTGGGTACAGAGAACTTTGCTACTTGAATAGATAGAACCTCACTACACTGTTTAAATTTAAATAGATGTGATTCCACTCCCTGATTCAGTAAACTTTTTACTCTCCTTAAAACAAACAAAACCTATTTTGAACGGATTAAAGCAGAAAGAACTGCGACGTGCACCCTGCGAGCCTGAAACTGACACTGTGCACAGATCGAAGCTCATCTTGAGATATGTGCGCACAGGGATCTATATGAATCCTTTAAAACATGCAGCAGATGTGCATTCTTCAGCGCTATTATAGAAATATGTCGGAAATTCAGAAAATTTATTAAAATTTTACATAAATATCTATCTTGATGTTTTGATAATTTATTCATATAACGGAGTTCACAAAAGAAGGTTTTAACGCACACCGAATTTCCTTTTTGTCTCTTGAGTTAACACTAGATATAAAATTGAGAGGAAGATGGAGGTGGTTGTGGGGGGGGGGGCGGTTACACCCTTCATTCCATGGATGAAAATGGTATGGGTGAGTTATCTAGTTTTATGCTTGAGATATTATTAGATTCTATGTACAGTATGTACATTATGTCACAAAAACCACGCGGTCTTTCAAAGTCAAATTCGTTCGCTTTCAAACTTTCCGAACATTTTTGGATTCAATAGTTATTCTCTTGATCAAACAAAAAATTTAGCATAAATCCTAATATTTTGACAAATGTATACTATGTTTATTGTTTATGTATACTACATAAACATTAGTAAACCCCATATTTGGAAGAACATGCAGTCTGCATATACCAGGCCTATGTGCTGCCTAGGGTATACAATACACATGGAGAACCATGGTAATATATAATCAACAAACATTTAAACAAGGAAGCACGCTGCGCTCTTCACCTTTAAGATATATACAGAAACAAACACTTAGTGCAAATATAAGACAAGTAACTGTTTAATGAGTATTAATGAGCAATTCTTTAATAAAAATGCGAAAACTCAACAGCTGACCCGATCGGCCAAAAACTTTTGTGACAGGTCAAAACTAGATTTTTTTCTCCCCAAAAAATCCGCGAAATTTTACATTATTTTTTATGCTTGAGTAAAAAGATGGTTGCAATTAAAGTAAAATGCATAAGAGCTAAAATTGGAGGAGAAATAAACCTAGCGCTGATATTTTTTCATGGTTTATGTATACGACTCTATTATTTCACGTACACGGTACAATCCCTTTAAAGGTACTGTAGGCGTAATCTCAAGTGAACCTCTATTTTAGAGTCGCATTTCCGATTCACACCGGTACCCTTTCATGATCAAGAATCATATCCATAACTTCTCTTTAAAAAGATGGTTATTATCAATTGTGGTTTCTCTTCATAGGTGATTTGCGGATTTGTTTGCTACAGAAACAATGAAATTATGAAAATTATCGATAATGGTACTTTAGTGAATTGAATTCTCTTTTTTTGAAATTGAAATAAAATAAAATTGAAGAAAACAAAATCAAATATATTTAACTAAAATATTTTTGCAAAAAATTACACAGTGACAACTGGAAGAAACAATAACATCACATTGGGTCAAGTGCTGACATCAACCGGAGAAATGCAAACTTTAAAAAAATGGTAAATTTTTGGCTTCAAAGGAGGTGAAAATTTCTAATTTCTAATAAACAATATAATGCAATGTAATACTAGGTTAAAACAAATCATGAAAACTATATAAACAAATCTAACAAATAAAAATACTAAAATTCTATAAATATTTTAAGTGTGCACAGTTGGTACAAATTTATATCATATTTTTGTTGCGCAGTCAATTTCGCAAATACAAAACATATTTTAGCTGTTTACATTTTTTTGGAAAATATGTAACGAGTTTAAATTTTGTCAGAAAAGGGTTTCAGATTGAGCATCGACACTTATAGAAATATAAAAAATTAAATAACTTTACGTTACTCTGACTAATTTTAAATATTTTATAAAATGCTATCCCCTAAAGGTTAAATAATAGATTTTGGATCAAAATATTTGGTTCTTCTACAAAATTTAATAGCAAAAATTGCATTTTTCCTTTAACAATTGATTTATCACTCATCGTCATTAATTTACAATTCTTGTCCGTCCTCAATATGGATCTGAAATACGGAGAAAATTAGTTTTGGTAATATTTTTATACCGCGATACACAGTGAGAACCAGGAAACTTGGTAATAGAAAGACGACTTTAAGACTCCAAATTAACATGAGACGCAGCAATTGTGCAGTGTAAACAGACCCAGTTCACTTAATTAGTGATTTAAAAATATTGTAGCAAAACTATTTGCTATGAACCAATGTCAATTAAACTTAATTCTTACTTAAATTTCCCCTCCTGTAGGTTCAAATATCTGATTAAATACCTGCATCTGATGTTTATAAATATTGTAGTTTCTAGTTTCCCCTCCTGTAGGTTCAAATATCTGATTAAATACCTGCATCTGATGTTTATAAATATTGTTCTAGTTTCTAGTTTCACCTCCTGTAGGTTCAAATATCTGATAAAATACCTACATTTGATGTTTATAAATATTGTCTGTAGTTTCTAGTTTTCCCTCCTGTAGGTTCAAATATCTGATTAAATACCTGCATCTGATGTTTATAAATATTGTCTGTAGTTTCTAGTTTCTCCTCCTGTAGGTTCAAATATCTGATTAAATACCTGGATCTGATGTTTATAAATATTGTTGTGGTTTCTAGTTTCCCCTCCTGTAGGTTCAAATATCTGATTAAATACCTACATCTGATGTTTATAAATATTGTAGTTTCTAGTTTCCCCTCCTGTAGGTTCAAATATCTGATTAAATACCTGCATCTGATGTTTATAAATATTGTAGTTTCTAGTTTCCCCTCCTGTAGGTTAAAATATCTGATTAGATACCTGCATCTGATGTTTATATATATTGTCTGTGGTTTCTAGTTTCCCCTCCTGTAGGTTCAAATATCTCCCCTTCACTTTAGCATCCTCTGGTACAGGGGACAGCCAGTTGTAAAAACTGCCAACTATTGGGACATGTCTGGAAAAAAGAAAATTTTAATAAAAATTAGGTTCTCTTCGCGCTCTTATGCATTGAAAATGGGGTGGATTAAGATTTAAAAACATTTTTGTGATACGGGAATTATTTTTAAGGTCGAAGGTAGATGTTGTGAATATTATCACTTTTTTAAACAGTAATGTATTTTATGCGGAATTTCTTTCACACCTTGTAACTCCTTAAGTTGGGTTTTACTTTACACCAAAGCATATGAGGAATTCAAAGTTTCTTTTGTTATCATTAGCTCTTAAGAAAAAGCAGTAATATATGAAAAAGATTTCAATCTAAAATCAAATTTAAGTTTAATATATCTTATGTATGACTAACCTAAGTATTCCTTCCTGCCAGATTTGATTATCTGATTCTCTCTTTAGTTCGTCCTGAGCTTGCTGAACTCCACGCTTAACAACCTCAGTCATAGTCTGGAGTTGAACCACGGCTTCATCGATATCTCGTCCTGTGTTTAGAACCAGAGCTAGCAGTTCTTCAACATCAGTCTCCATAGTTACCATACCAAACCTAGATATATCCATAGTTACCATACCAAACCTAGATATATCCATAGTTACCATACCAAACCTAGATATATTCATAGTTACCATACCAAACCTAGATATATTCATAGTAACCATATCAAAACTTGATATATCCAGAGTTACATTACCAAACCTAGAAATATCCATATATGTTACCATACCAAACCTAGATATATCCATATTTACCATACTAAACCTAGATATGTGCATAGTAACCATACCAAACCTAGATATATTCATAGTTACCATACCAAACCTAGATATATCCATAGTTACCATACCAAACCTAATCATAAAAAATGGGAATCCGGCTTCGCCTGGAATGGTTATTTACCTAACACACATATAATGATGAGGAGCTGGACCTTCTCCTAGAGAGAAGGCCGAGTCTGTATTTCTCAGGGTTGCAACTAGTTCTACGTTTCTCTGGTTTACTACGCGTAGATCTTCCTCTCCCATCTCCAGAACCTTCCCAGTCTCCTTGTCCACATAGTCCTGGGGGATAAACCTTACTCCGCCCAGTCCAGCCCAGTGGGAGATATCAACGTGCTGAAATATTCAACAAATAGAAACTTTATATTTATATCTATATTGCTTACTTTTAAGATTACTTGTATTTCTCTCCTAGTTTTACTGCCCCCCCCCCCCCCGGTCAATTTTATCTGGAGGGGTCCACTGCACAATCGTTGATAAATCCTCGAAATTTCCAATTATTAGATTAATTGAATGAGCAAAGACGATTGCTACCTGAGCTGATGACTCTTGTTCTATTATTTGAATGAATTTAGATCTTTGAGCAACCGTAGCATTTAGTATATCACATTTCTCATCCAAGCACTAGAAGTAAAAACATGGCAGTAAACTAAATAATGACAGGAAATTAACAACTTTATTTTTCTAGACAAAGACTTCATAATAATCAATATTTAATTGTCTCACTCTTGGCTATAAAAAATGTTATATCAACAGTATATGGTATTCATTTTTCCTTTCTCTTTTATAATCCAGGTAAAAAATAAAACAATGGAATCTTTCATAAAAAGACAAAAAGATGGTTTTGTGTTTGTGCCTCCAAGAAATCCTGCATATTGTTAGCATGGTCCAATTTTGCCAGTCTTATCTTAATAAGATTTTAAAAAATTTATCTTTAAAACCTGTAAAAATGCTGTAATATCTTCCTGTAGCAATCCAATCATTGATACATCTTCGAATGGACAAAGTCTCAGAACATAACCTGAACATAAGAACTATCTCTATATTGTACTCTGTACCAGTTTCTAGACTAACTATCTCTTTATCGTATTCTGTACCTGTAGTTTCTACACCAACTATCTCTATATTTTACTCTATACCTGTAGTTTCTACACCAACTATCTCTATATTTTACTCTATACCTGTAGTTTCTACACCAACTATCTCTATATTTTACTCTGTACCAGTAGTTTCTACGTCAACTATCTCTATCTTTTACTCTGTACCTGTAGTTTCTACAACAACTATCTCTATATTTTACTCTGTACCAGTAGTTTTTACGTCAACTATCTCTATATTTTACTCTGTACCTGTAGTTTCTACGTCAGCTTTCTCTATATGTAGGTTCTATGTGAACTATCTCTATATTGTACTCTGTACCTGTAGTTTCTACGTAAACTATCTCTATATTGTACTCTGTACCTGTAGTTTCTACGTAAACCATCTCTATATTGTACTCTGTAACTGTAGTTTCTACGTTAACTATCTCTATATTGTACTCTGTACCTGTAGTTTCTACGTCAACTATCTCTATACTGTACTCTGTACCTATAGTTTCTACGTAAACTATCTCTATATTTTACTCTGTACCTGTAGTTTCTACGTAAACTATCTCTATATTGTACTCTATACCTGTAGTTTGTACACCAGCTATCCCTATATTGTACTCTGTACCTGTAGTTTCTACGTCAACTATTTCTACAGCAAGTTGACCAGCATCTCGTTGTATAATCTGTCCAAGCCAGGAGTTCAAGTTGTCAGTGTATGGAGATACTCGGGAACTAGATTTTATTTGAACAAATCATTCATATATTCATGTACATATCAGTCATATATTCATGTACATATCATTCGTATATTAATGTACATATCATTCATATATTCATTTACATATCATTCATATATTCATGTACATATCAGTCATATATTCATATACATATCATTCGTATATTCATGTACATTATTATTCATATATTCATGTACATATGTTTGTGTACTGTACAGTAGTGCTATAGATTCCAAACCCAAGTATTGACTATGATTCAAGTATATATGTAGAGAAAGGAAATTTCAAACCATTTAGAGGGATTGTATACGTAATTTTAATTCATTATTTGTAGAATAGCATGACCAATTCACAACGGTACCCTCAGAAGATTTGAATGAGATATTCATTAAAAATGATTATTTTTAGTTGTTGTTATCTTTATATGAGTGCCCGGCGTATTTATGCTACAGTAACAGTTTAGGAAACTGTCCGAATTAAAAATTTGTCAAGCTGGAACAAAGACGGGTTTTCTCACATTATTGATCAAATAAAGGTTTTAAGGAAACCATTGTGCATCAGGCATGATCATCTTTAAATGGAGGATCCTTTGAAATCACAATTCAAAAGTTCCTTTAATATTTTTAAAGAATAGAATGAGACATTTTCGGTATAATGGGATTCAAAATTCTACGCTCTGTTGAAAGGCGGATTTTTGGAATGGTCCTAAATAATATTTAACCTTGTGTCAAGGGTTGTATCTGACATATACTGGAAGGCTATGGCTGGGCTGACCGTCTGAAATATGTTTGCTGGATCTACAGAACCGGTTTGAAGCTCGGAGATTCCAACAAAGTGTGCGCCGGTCGCCTGGCTTAGGATCCGGATACACGACATGCTGCTCAACTTGTTCGTAATCTCTTCAAGCATCTGAAAAAAAAATACTTTGAATACCTGGCATCAGATATATTTAAAATTTGGTGTTATCATTTTATTTAAAACCTTGTTTGGCTTGACATTGTTCTGAGAATTAGTGATAATCCTTGAAATGTTTGTTCAAGTTCAAGGTTGTACCTGGAAAACTCCGCGTATCCGTTCTCTGATCTGTTTCAACCCCAGAGATCTGAGAACACACCACAAGGGAAGACAGCTCAACCGAACTGAAGGAGTAACTACTCCCAATCCTAAAGCAAGAAAAAATTGAAAATAAAGCTTTTAAAAAGTGTCTAGGGACTTATTTTTCGAATCGGATAAAGTAGAAAAGCCACACAAACCAAATAGTTTAGACGCAATAGGGTCCAAATTGAATAAATAGCAAGAAGTAGTGGAACTACGAAGAAACAATAGAAGAACCTCGCTCTACTTGAACTGGCGTACAATTCAAACAATTTAGCCTGTTAGGGTATAGGAACTGATATCAACATTATAAATTGGGCTTCAACTCCTTAAATCGGGGAATGTTGTCCATTGCGGTAGCTTGCCTCTAAGGTCGTTAACGGATTTAAAACACAAAAGTTCCCCCCTGCGCTGAAGTTCACCTGCTAACTGCGCTGCTTCAACGTCTGCTCTGAAAACTGTAACAAATGGAACTGCTGGTATCCCGATCCAACTCCCCAGGGTTAATGTCATACTGTCACACCTCTTCTCATCGTATCCTAAACAACAGACGGATGATAAATTGGCAATAAATCTAAAAATATATAAAAGTGACTGTATATTTATAGAGTGGTTTGTCGGATATTCACGATATATCAATCTTCTTCTCTTCCACATTTTTTATCAGAAAACGGTTTAAAAGCCACAGTTGTGAATTGGGAATGCTCCTTTGTGAATGTAAGGTTACTTGAAATTACGTGAACCGTTCCTTTAAATTAATAATTATGTTGACATGAACAATGCCAGGTAGAAAGATTACCATCAGGGTCATTATTAGATTGTAAATTTTAAGAAAAGTTGCTGTACATGAATCTGTGTGCGTGAAGCTGTACCTTGAGCAGGAAGAAGAGTAAGGGCACTCAGTGCATGTCCCTCCAGGTGTAACCATACATTCCGACTCGAACATATCTCCTGCAAATCAAATCAAATCAAATCAAATCAAATCAAATCAAATCAAATCAAATAGAATTTATCTAAAAAGAAAATAAGCTTTGGCTAGAATATAAACTAAAATATTTACTTTGTTAGTAGAAAATTTTAAAGAATTTTATTTAAAGCTAGGGTAACTAATAGATTGGAGTTTAGTCTAGCTGATACTTCGCTATGGAAGCTAGAAACCTGAACCTAGGTCTTAATATTTGGTTATTTAATGTGAATTAATCTCTAGTTAATTAAAAAAAAACTAGGTCTAGATGACAATATTTAGAACCTGGAGGTTTAAACCAATACATATAGCTTTGTCATGTATAGCCCCTAACTTGGAGAAAAATATAAACCATATCCGCAGTAAAATATAAACCGTACCTGGAGAAAAGTATAACCCTACCCGGAGTAAAGAATAAACCCTATTTGGAGAAAAATATAAACCATAATAGGAGAAAAGTATAAACCCAACTCTGAGTAAAGTATAAACCCTATCTGGAGTGAAGTATAAACCCCATGAGGAGTAAAGTATAGACCTCACCCGAAGTAAAGTATAAAACCTACCAGGAGTAAAATATAAACCCTACCCGGAGTGAAATATAAACCTTACCCGGAGTAAAGTATAAACCTCACCTGGAGTAAATTATAAACCCTACCCGGAGTAAAATATAAACCCTACCCTGAGTAGAGTATAAACCCTACCCAGAGTAAAGTATAAACCGCACACGGAGAAAAGTATAAACCCCATCAGGAGTAAAGTATAAACCCTACTCGAAGTAAAGTGTAAACCCTTCCCGGAGTAAAATATAAACCCCACCCGAAGTGAAGTATAAAACCTACCAAGAGTAAAACATTAACCCTACCCTGAGTAGGGTATAAACCCTACCCGGAGTGAAGTATAAACCTTACGCGGAGTAAAGTATAAACCCCACCTGGAATAAAGTATAAACCCTACCAGGAGTAAAATATAAACCGCACCCGGAATGAAGTATAAACCTCACCTGGAGTTTAGTAACACTCTGGTTGTGGAAGAGTGAAGAATGAACGTTAGCTATACAGACGAGTGGGGTCAATCCTTTCTCTATATCTGATTCAAGGACATCATTTAGCCAGGAGAAATCCTTCTCATTCTCTCCAGGTACAACCAACCTGGGGAAAATAAAAATATTTTATTAATAAGGATATTGACTTTAAAAAGAATTGGCATTTTTTTCGAATTTATGACAAAAATTGCTAAAAAAATTGAAGATTTAAAAGAGGAATAAAATTATTGATAATAGAGGAACATATCGAATATGTGAAATAATTACTAATTAAATGCTTAAACAATGATGAATGACGAATGACGAATGACGAATGATGAATGATAAATGATGAATGATGAATGATGAATGATGAATGATGAATGATGAATGATGAATGAATGAATAAACAAACTAACGACAAGAAGGTAGATGAAAAAACGAATACAAAAATTAATAAAGGGATGAAAAGAAGAATGAAGGAATATTGGGATGAATAAATGTGTTACAGGGTTTTTAGATGTAATGTTGAAACCGTGTTTTAGAAAGAATGCATATGAGAATGAATTAAAAAGTAAAGATTGAATGAGAGGATAAAAGAAAGAATGAATGAACCTGACAGTGGATCTGGGAAGTCCTAACTGTACACAGATATATTCCGCTGCATCCTGGTAGGTTGAGGTAGTGATGTAGATTACAGGAGGAGAACTCTGGAGAACATTGAACCCGTCCTCACTCAGGGTTGGATAAGTGTTGTGGAGAACCATACGGACGGTTCGAACCAACCCCTCTCTGATATCATCGTGACAATGAGAACTTGAGCCAGGGAAATGCATGAGTTTGCTCAACCAGAGAGAAACCTCACCAGCGATCCTAAATACATTAAATTCTACTTTACCTTGCAGAATGAAGAAAACTTTTGAATTCATCTGTACTTAGAAGTATTTAGACAGATTTCGGTTTTGGTTTTGTTGACGCGTTAAAAGATGAAAACTAGTATGAAACATAATCTACAATCACATTTAAGTATTTCAGAAAGGTTTGAGACATTAAAGAAGACCTAGCTGAAACTCTTTTAATTAAATTTCCTAAATTTCCTTTGTGAGTAACCTTGTTTGATACCAAAATCAAAAAGAAAATTGTGTATAATTCTTGATTTTAGAACACTACTAATAATTTCATTAATGATCTTAGAGTGGATCAAATTTCTTTAAAGCTGACTTAATCTATATATAAATTTGGCTTGTCTGTCTGTTTGTTTGTTTGTCTGTTTGTTTGTATCCAATAAACGTCAAAACGGCTGAACCGATCGGGCCCAAATTTTTTTGGGACATCTAGGGACCCCAGGGAAGGTTTATGAATGATCAACATTTCAAATATTTGTCTCCATCGAAATTCGATCTTCATTAAATTTTTGAAAATTTTGAAAATCCGCGAATTATTTTTGTTTTGTTTTACGATGTACACAAAGAGAACATGTTCACAATTAATTTAGAAGATGGGCGCGAAGCGCCCTCTAAGGCTAGTCTATATATAAATTTTGCTTGTCTGTCTGTTTGTTTGTATCCAATAAACGTCAAAACGGCTGAACCGATCGGGCCAAAATTTTGTGTGGGACCTCACGTGACCCCAGGGAAGGTTTACGAATGATCAAAATTCTAAAAAAATTTGTGATCTAAAGTTTTTTATTTTTGTAAAATTTTGAAAATGCGCGAAAAAATATTATTAAATCCGCAAACTTTTTTTTATACTGTACAAAGGAAAGATGTTCACAGATTAAACCACAATTAAAAGTTGAAATAGAAGATGGGTGCGAAGCGCCTTAAAAGCATAGTCTATATATAAATTTGGCTTGTTGTCTATTTGTTTGTATCCAATAAACGTCAAAATGGCGAACTGATCGGGCCCAATTTTTCTGTGGGATCTCGCGTGACCCCAGGGAAGGTTTATGAATGATAAAAATTAAAAAAATTGTGTTTAAAAGTTTTATTTTTGTAAACATTTTTAATATCCGCAAATTTTTTTAAATAAAATCCACAAAATTTTTTTCCTTTGTGTTTTCAATGTTACAATGAGAACATGTTCACAATTAAAATAGAATATGGGCGCGAAGCGCCCTAAAAGCCCAGTGTCCTTATATTAGAAAAATAGGTTTTACAAAGTAGAAACTTCTCTTCAGAATGCGACTAAAAAAGTTCGACTAAGCAAACCAAGTCCTGATAATACACCTTCAAGATTATTTTCTTAAACATTTTAATTTAAAACGGTTGTAAAAGGGATTTTCTATACATTCAATTTCTAGGCTCGACTAAATATTCAAGAATAAATGAGATACCTGTTGGAAAGGCGTTGGAGTGGCACAGTATCCAGGGTTGTAATATAAGCTGAGAGAGAATGCGAAACTATGGATAGAAGAGCAGATCGGTCACACAGCTTAGAGAAGATCTGACCTTCCCCCTCCCTAATACAAACACATATTTATTTGTTAATATGCGTAAATTTCCTTTGTTCCATCTGTGTAAAACATAAACATATGAAATCTATGTCCTTATGTCCAAATGGTTTATAAGGAAAGAACTTCAAAATACTAAGGAACTCAGTCTTTTGCCACAAACTCAAATTATCTAATCCCTATATCTTTAAAAAATTTGATGTAAACCTTTGTTACTTCAAATATGGACTATTTGATCTGTAAGAATTCATAATTTGAAATATCAAAGGTGTAAGACATCAGGTTGCAAAGATATAGAGATTAGAAAATTAGATCGTTGCAAAAACTTTGTTCATTATTCCTCCCTTCAGATGAACAAAATTTTAGAAATAAAATCCAATTTTAAAAATAGTTTCTTTTTAAAACATTAGAAAAAAGTTAACAAGTAATTACGGGTTTTTAATAAATGCATTATGTTACCTATAGATGGAGTTGCTGATAATTCCAAGAACTTGGTCAATCTCCTTTCCTTCTTCATCCAGATCAGAGGGTTCACACTCCTGTAGGGTTTCCCTCTCTCCTCCTGCTACCAGGGTTTCCTCCAGCTTGTTCAACAGGGTCTCTGTTGTACCCTGGATCACGTGGGAATAATCTTCATCATCGTCCTCCTCCCCCTCCTCCTCTTCCTCCTGATCTTCTTCTTCTCCTCCTTCTCCTTCAATCTTATCTCCACAAACTGAACCTAAAATAAACCTGATTAAGAATCATGGGAAAAACAAATAAAAGAAACTTGAGAATTGTAAATTTTGACGCTCTTAATTCACCAATTTATAAGAAATTTCATAACTATAATTCTTTCAACATCTTTTGTGAAATTAATCCCGAATTAAGGGCAACCGAGCTTAAGCTCTTCTGAGCTAATTATTGACCAGCTTTTAAGTGTACAATTCATGGCCCTAAAACTGCTATAATTTATTGTCATCAGTTTCTTAATTTCTTACAAATACTGGCATCAAAGTTAGTATTTTAAATAAACAATATTTTTTTGTATACTCTTTGATTTTTTCTCCCAAGAAGGTAAAAATATGAATTTATGAGAGTATAACCAACCTGCAGCAGGAACTAGACTTCCGGAAGTTCCCTGCTCACTTCCTACTTCCTCTTCAGTTAATACAGGTTCAGGTTCAGAAGCAGTTTCACAAACTTTCGCCGTTTCAGGAACTGATTCAACTTCACATTTCTCCGACATCTTGTCCGAGTCTAACAACAAACTTCTGAAAAAATTTAACTGGGGTAAGTCTTGAAAATCTTAACTTCTTTGACACGTAGGTCGTGGAGGTACCCTGAGAAATATGAAACACCTGTAATCCGTCCCACCTGGATAAAAACATCTGTTGTAAGACTAAACCCTATTCAACAAACAATCTTTTAATTGTTTAAGGATTCATTTCTCATTACTATAAATTGATAAATTTAAAAATTATGATCAATTTCTCAAAAAATTTGCAACTAATTTAGTGAAACGATATTGAAATAATAAAAATGATTCCCCTTTAAAAATACATTTCTTGTCAACAAGATTTAATATTAAATTACCAGGAACATGCGATAGTAAATTTTATTATTTTGAATTGTGTGAAAAACATATATCTTTATTTAATATATATCATTCGAATTTAATTGTGTTATTGAAGTCAAAATGGATAATTTATCAAAAACAATCAAGATAAAAGAATATTTTTGTTTTAAAAGTTAACTAAATTTAGATATTTTTCCTATTTTCACTTCTAACTTGTTTCATCTTAACACAGTATAATCTTGTGATGTAAAATATTCTGCTATTATTATAAATATTGTATACGTATACAGACAGCCTAGTCCAGTTTTGTGTTCTGACATTTATGCATGGATACTTTAATGATAACCTTCCCTCTTCCTTCCAAATTATGTTTAAGTCTCTAGCTGAACCGAACAGAAGAAAATCATATAAATTAGAACGGGTTTTAGACAAAAATCTAGAAACCTTTCCGTCCGCAATGTTTCTTAAATTGTGGAATGCAATTGAAATTGACCTTAAAGAAACTAAATCTGCAAAAATATTTAAAGAAAGAGTCAGGCGCGCAACTAAGGGGGCCGGGGGGCCAGGCCCCCCCTAGCCTGAAGGGGGGCATGCCCCTCCCTTAAAAAGTCTTGCCCCCCCCATGAATCCTGACCCTGAGGAAATTCAAGAGCTCTTATCGTAAAATAAAAAAAGATAATTGAACTTTAGTTTATTGAGCTTATAGTTCAATCTAAAGCTAAAAAAAACTGAAACTTTATTAGGTTATTTATTAGGTTATTTGTTAGCCAATTCCTTAGACGCTCTACCTTTGGTAGAACCATAGTCACACTATGGTTACGCTTTACCAGAGTAGTGTAGATAGATAGATACGACCTATTGTTGTACCTATGGTTAAATGAATAAGAAATTGGCCATGTGTTTCTGTATCCACCATCCTTAACACCCTGCATTTTAATTTATCTTTAAAGTAATCCCACTGATCTCACCCTGCCACAGATCACGTGACAATCTCCTTCCTTCCAATCAACTCCTTACCTATCCAAAAACATAACTTGATGTGTGTAACCAATTATATTCAGTATCGTTAACTAACTTAGGGCAAACCACTTAAAACAATCTACCGTGGTTAGGCGGGTCCAAACGGCAAAGTAAATTGCATAGGTAAATAAATAAACAGAGATATATCTATGGTAAATTGTGATTGCGCATGCTTTGTAGTTGAATAAAAATATGAAATATGAAACACGTCTTAAACTCTAATATTTTAATCCCCATATTTTTGGAACCTGGTGGCGTAAACATTCAATATTTCCAACCTTGACTTTTAAATTTACTTTAATTTATAGGCTTGAAAATAAAATGTCTACTTCGAATACACATGTAGATTGTTGGCTGCTAAGAGAAGGAAACAAAAACAAAAATTTGAGGCAAGTATTTAGTTCCTTTTCTAGAGTCACACGATTTTATTGAAGACTAATCAATTAGAGAACGGTTTTGATCAAGTTTTCTCTTTTAATGCTCAAATCATATCCCTGCTCGGGTTCATATATTTCGCTCATGCTTCTGATACATTTTCATCAGATCTAGCGGGTTCAAATCCACCACGGCCTGTGGCTATACAGTCTATCTATTCCTTCTATAGGTTCAAATATATAAAGCTCTGCATATTAAAATCTATCCCAGCTCTGGATTCAAATCTATCCCTGCTCCGAGTGTTTCAATCTGTCCCTGCTCCGGGTTCTCATCTAACTATGTTCTGGATTAAAATCTATCCAATTCCCGGGTTCAAAATTATCCATGCTCCGCGTTCAAATTCATTCGAATTCGAAAATTACTCCTTATTTTTCTTTTAAAAGAGTTGTCTCTATTTAATTTAGTCTAAAGTATTTCTTAAAATTTTGTATCAACAGTGAATTTAGACAAATCCTTAGTCTTTGTCATTGTCAGGGGTAACTTTTAAAACGTAGTTTCATTTTAATTTTGTATTTTCCAAGGGGGGGGGGGTTGCAAGAGGAATACTACCCCCCCCCTGTGTACGCGCCTGCTTTAGGGTCAAATCTATCCCTGCTACGGGTTTGAATCTATTCTTGCTCTGTGTTCAAATCTATCCTTGCTCCGGGTTCAAAACTATCCATGCTACTGGTTCAAATCTACCTATACACCAGGTTCAATTCTATCCCTGCTCCGTATTCAAATCTATCCCTGCACCAGCTTCAAATCTTTCCCTCCAGGTTCAAATCTTTCCCTGCTCCAGGCTCAAATCTTTCCCTGCTCCGGGTTCATATCTATCCCTTTGGATTTGAATTTATCCTTACTCCGGGTTCAAATAAATCCCATTCCCTGGTTAAAATATATTTCTTTTCTGAGTTCAAATCTATCCCTGCTCCGAGTTAAGATAAATTAATATTCGATGGGTTCAAACTAATCTAAATTTTCATATCTAAAATATGGATTCAATATATTATCCAATGTTATTAAATCATTGTTTCGGGTTCGAATAATCCTTTCTCCGGCTTCAAATACATCCCTGCTGAGGGAATTCATGTATATTCTTGCTTCGGCTTAAAATCTAGCCTTGCTCCGGGTTCTCAAATCTATTCTAACTCCGGCTGATCAAATCTAGCCTTGCTCCGGGTTCAAATCTATCCTTACTCAGGCTTCAAATAATCCTTTCAGTTTGCTCCATGTGTTCTAATAATCCTTGATCCGGGTTCAAATATATATTTGCTTCTGGTTTAAACCTATATCTGCTCCGTGTTAAAAATTCCTGCTCCAGGTTCAAATAAGTTAATGGTACAATTCTAACTCTATCCTTGCTCCGGGTTTAAAACTATCCCTGCTCCGGGTGGTATATATATATATATCCCTGGTAGGTTTCTACTCCCCAGCCAGGTAGTAAACTCGCTTCCCGGCACACACAAAGCACGGTACAAAAACAGGGCGTCACTCCAAATAGAACTAAACTCAAGTAAGTTTTCTCTATTTAATAAGGAATAAACTCAATCTAAGTGATAAACTACAATTTTAGACCAATCGTAAACTTTTTGATATTAAAAAATGTGTTTCTGTGAAAAAGTAAAAGTGAGGTTTGTAAGAAAGCTTTGGGTTTCTGAACCAGAATAAATTATTGTAACAAAGAGATCTGTTCTAAGGTCTTTCTTTGGTTGACATAAACCTTTGTGCTCAAACCATTCAATCAATCAGTTTAACTAAGAACTTCAGTTCACTATTACGTTAACTTAATTTTTCAAATTCATAAATACTTATTATTTTTTAATATTTTAAGTAAAAAGATACAAAAGCATTGTTTGTTTATAAATATTTCCATATTCTAGGCACCATGTAACCTGCTACGCCCGCAAAGACTGAAGCTTTCGTTGGATCTCTTTTGTACTTTTATACCTTGTATGTTTGTGTTCGTGTAAATGTATGATGTCTGACGAAGTACCAACCCCTGTCCACCTAGTGGTCCCCTCCGCCTCCCTTAAATCCGTTACTCCGGCCCCTACGGAGTCGGACGAGACGGACGATCTCATGCTCCGTTGGGAGGATCATCACAAAAGTTTTTTCGAGCTTGCCGAGGACCTGTGCCATCAAGAACAGTTTATAGATGTAACCATATCATGTGGAGATCAAAATTTTCCCGCACATAAACTTATTCTCTCCGTGTGCAGTCCGTATTTTAAAAACCTGTTCCTACGAAACCCTTGTAAACATCCGATTGTTGTTCTCAAGGATGTACATTTCAAGTACATGAAGCTTCTCCTAATATTTATGTACCGAGGCGAGGTTGCAGTTCCCCAGGAAGATCTCCATGGTTTGCTCAGAGTTGCGCGAAGTCTCCAGGTGCGAGGATTGGCTGAGATGGGATCTCCGAACCCGGCTCAGATCTCGCCAAGGAAACGCTATCTCTCCGAGATGATGGGAGACTCTGATCTCGATTCCAACGGAGAGTTTTGCATCGACGATGTAAAATCCCGACTCCACGGACAGTTGGAGATTCAGGTAAATAAATTGTTACTTAAATCTTGTGAAATTCTCTTATCTCATAAACCTAAAATTTGTATGCATTCAGGCTGTGTCCGGAGCTAGTCCCAGCTCTCTACCCCGTACTCCTCCTCTATCCTGGAGCAAATATTTGCCAGCTCCATCCCACTTTGATGATCTGAACGCTGCTCCACGATCCTCCAGATCGGAGTCAGCTCCGTCCGAGGATGAGCCACATTCTCAGGTAGCTATATCCCATTTCTTTCATGCTACTAAAAACATGTTTAAAGATCAAAATTATTTATTATTAAATATAAATTTTAATTTTACGTATTTTTTTAGTTTCAAAGTTGTAAACGTGAGGTTCCTGATTCCTGGACTATGGCTGACAGCGGCTCCGAGGATCAAAACCATCAGGTTGAGAATAGACGAGAAAGAGCAAGATCTGGCGACGATCTGCTGCAAGACTATCACGCGATGATGAAACGAGACAGGACGGAACAGAAGTCTAAACTGGAATACAACGCAAAGAAGCTGGAGTATGATGGTAAGAAGGTTGAGGTTGAGGAGAGATCTAAACCTGGATTATCAAACTCAACCTTGTTAGACGCTGCTAGAGCAGCAGGCCTCGAACTACCAACTTCAAACACGGATCCGATGTCGTCAATATCCGCCCTACTCGCCGCAGCAAAGGCTACCGGAGGCCTGCCTCCGAGTTCCTCCACCCCTCCGACCTCCAGCACCACCTCCGGAGCTCAATCCAACCCTGCAAATCAGGGTCTTGATCTCAGTAATCCAGCAGCTGCAATGGCAAATGTCAACGTAAGAAAATAGTTTAAAATCTTATTTTTTAAATTAAATTAATATTTTTTTAAGCTAATGATGTGCATTGTCTAGGCCCAGATGCAGCTGTACTACTACATGCAGAAGCTGCAGAGTGCCGGGATGGGGAACCCGAAGGAGAGGAAGGAGTGCCCTATCTGCGGGAAAACTTTGTACGACAGATCAACATGGAACAGGCATATGCGGATTCACACTGGTCAGTTTTATTTTTTTTTACGGTTCTGGTTTTGTACCTTATATCTTCTAGTATGTAGAATATACACTGTACAGGGCTATTCACAAAGAATGAGACTTCAACAAGACTACTTTACGGAAGTTATTCGATCTTTTTTCTTAGATTTCTGGTTCCCTTCAGCTGTGTATTTACTTATTTCATTGCGTAACTAGTTCAAATATATTTTCAAGGCAGGAGAGAAAGTTTAGCATTAAGATCTTCACATCGGAAGAGTTTATGTCGTCATTAAAGTTTTATTCTTATTGGCTAACCCTGTAGTATCCTTTTTTCCGTTTGCTCTCGATGATTTGTTTTAAATTCCGGTATTATTTTTTTCTTCATATTTTAAAAAATCTCATCTAAATTAACATATCTGGTCCCTTCAGTTAGAGTCAACGTATTCGGAATAAATATAGTTTAAATTTAATTAATTAAATTTATTTCTTCAGTCCTAAATCCATATTGTTCGGATTAAATTAGTCCATGTTCTCAATCCTAAATCCTTAATGTTCAGGTGAGAAACCGTATCCGTGTCGGTACTGCGGGCGCAGATTCCGCACAAATTATAACAAACTTGGACACGAGAAGAAGTGCCCTGACCGGCACGCCAGGGCTCTCCTTCAGCCGGCGCAACCCGAAAGTACGACTGCAGTTCCTAATGTTGTCTACAGATAGTACTGCTCAATCCACAACATGAATCTCGTATCTTGAAACTTGCAGGTTTCAGGACTACGTCTCAGAATCTCAGGATGTTCCCCCATATCTCCTCTCTCTCTCATATACCAGTGAATAGTTTAGTCTCAGAACACGGAGAAGTATTTTTATTGTAATCTTGAATCAAAAGCTAGAAACGGCTGCTCGGAATATGATCTCTAACTTTTGGAAAATTCCATTGAAACCAAATCAAATCATCAGAAGATATTGATCTCTGTTCCTATGTATCTTTAGACCAGGAGAAATCCGTTACGACCCTGAAATCCCTGTTCTCCCTTTTCTTTTCGGATATCGTCTTGGTTCGAATATCTCAAAACGGAAGAACCGTCCTGAAACTATTTATCAAAACTGCTCCTTAACTCCAATACAAGACAGTGAAGGTCTTTATTAAATGTTTGCTCAGTCAATGTTCCCTTGCTGCTCATATCAGATTCATGACTCCTCGTGGTCGAATTCTACTGCTGAATGTTGCCCTTTCTCATAAAATTATGCAGTTTAACTGATGAATATTTGATCTCTTGCAAAATTTCAACCCGCGCTCAGATTTGCAATAACTTGTAAAAATCAAATTTAATGTCCCGTATAAAAACAGTGCCAAGCTGATCTTCTAAAGATCGGCCATTCCGAGCTATGCATCTTTTATACATTTTTCAAAACCGTGTTGATCTCAATTTATAAAGTTTCAAGCCAAAACATATCCTATAAACTCAAACTTAGAAGATTTGGTTCTGTGCACATCCAATGCGCACGAAACCTTCTTAGAAAAGTACAAGTTTTCATGTACCGAACTGTACAAGTCTGGATGTATGAATATCTTTAACCGTACTAACTCCGGTATCTGCTGAACTGCAGACGTAGTTGTGCGGTAAAGAACGGAATGATCGATGGAATGTTTATATTTTTATATAGAATGTTTAGTTTTAAGGAAATACTGAAAAGGATTTTTTTCTTCAAAGATAAATGGAATCTTTGGACTTATTGAGCTTTGGGGTTAGGACTATAGAACCAGACTACTGTAAGGCTAGAGCACCGCACTAGGATTAGATCACCGGACTACGGTAGGATTACAGAACTGGACGACTGTAGGATTACAGAACTGGACTACTGTAGGACAAGAGAACCGGACTACTGTAGGAATAGAGAATTAGAGTACGGTAGGACTAGAAAGCTGGACTAATGTATGACTGTAGGACTAGAGATCTGGACGTATGACTGTATGACTAGAAAGCTGGACTAATGTAGGACTGTATGACTAGAGAACTGGACTAATGTATGACTGTATGACTAGAAAGCTGGACTAATGTAGGACTGTAGGACTAGAGAACTGGACTAATGTATGACTGTATGACTAGAAAGCTGGACTAATGTAGGACTGAAGGACTAGAGAACTGGACTACCTTATGACTAGAAAATTGGGATAGTGTATCACTCGATTACGACTTACGGACTACTATTAAGTATTACTGTAGTTGAAAAGTTCTTAAATCCTCAAGTATTAGCAGCTTAAACCTTCCTTATGTCAAATAAGACTCAAAATCTCGCTTTTAGGCAGCTAACCTTAAACCAGATATATTTCAGTATTGTCTATTTTTGTTCAATTCAGACAGAATTTTTAAAACTAATTTATTTATAAAAATTATTTATATAAATTTGAACTAAGCCTGAACTTGCCCCTTAAGTATTTATCACGGGACACATTGTAAAATAACGTTCTTTTGTACTTATTCAAACAGTTTTTCCTTTTGTGTACAGAATTATACCTGGAGAAGGTTTTGTAAACCTTCTCTTTGCTCCGATACTGGTGAAACCTGTGTTCCTTATTATATTTTAAACATGAAATACCAGGGTAACTTCACCCCCTACCAGGGGTTCGGATTATTCAACTTCAACCCATTTTTATTGTGCTTAGATCAGTTGCCTTTTTTGTTTTTTATTATTTTCTAAATAAGGACTTCAGTCTTTGCCACAAACTCTGAATTTCTAATTCCTATATCTTTGCAACCCAATGTCGTAGACCTTAGATATTTCAAACTATGAATTCTCTTGGATCAAATAATTATTTAGAATATCCAAGGTTTGCACAGGTTGCAAAGAAATAGGGATTGGAAATTTGGATTTGTGGCAAAAACTCGGTTCCTCTCCCAAATTTTCAAAAAACCTCGCCCTGTATCTGGGATCCGTAAACTTTATTCTCTCAAATATCAGGGTCCAATGCTAATCATTCTCCGAACCCTTAATCAATTGAAACTATAATATCTAAACAGGCCAAGTTGCATGTGAGAACAGTTGAGTGTGATTTAAAAAAATACATTTAAAAAATCTTTAAAAATCCAATATGCAACTTGGCTATGTAAAATCTCTATTTTTTCATTTTTCTAATCTCCAATGGGGCCAAAAATAACCCTCCGAATCATTTCGGATTAACAATTAAAGAAAAAAGACAATTATTTATATATTCAACTCGAGCTTTTCATGTATTCTCTTGTTTGTGCAGGATGTCTATGCAATTATTGTAAAGTGAAACATTTCTTTGCTTTTAGCGGTCTTTTCGACCTTTTTTTATTTATTGCAATAATCCCAAGTATTTGTATTTTGTAGTCTTCCTGGCTTTATAAAGTTTTCTACTGTTTATACCACCATCTTAACTTTATACCTAATACTTTTTTATCAATAATAAAAAGACAAAGATGCCTGATTTGAGAATATTTTCGGAGATAAGAGTGAAAGATATTATACAGAGACAAGATTACCCGCAAACGATGAGACTTGAAAGATGACTGTACGGAATTTACACTATCATTCATAATTCTGTAACTATAAACTTCTTTCTTTGCTTAAACCGCAATAAGGCAAATATGCATATATATGTATTATATATTCATGACAGAAAACTGGATTTAACCTTAATATCGTGATATATTTGAGTTTGGTAGTCTTTACATCTTGTCTTTTGAAGGTAACCCTGTAAACAAGAGAGACCTTGGTAGAACAAATTTCAATTTGAAATTACTTTTTATGCGAAAGTAGGAAATACAGGTTGGATAAAAGAAATAAAACAAGTTGCATGCAACAGAGATTAAAACAGATGCAGTATAGAGATTAGAACAGTTTAAGAAATAAAATAACTTGCAGAGGTTAAAACAGCTGCTGAGATTAAAGGGAGTGTTCGCGAAAAATGAAAGTGGGTATAGGCTTAATGCGATTAAAAAGCACTTTTGATCGCTACTAATCTTACTTCTATCTGTTGCGTCTATAAGGAGAAAATTGTCAAAGACGTCTCATACCGAATAACTTAGCGTCCATAAAAATTGAGAAAATTGCAACATAAGTCTTAGACCTTAAAAAATCAATTTAATTTCAAACAAATCATTCAGATAAATTACAACCTATAGTCATCGATTATCTTTCGCCACATTCGTATATAGTTTATATTTTATAATATTTTTGATTTCGTTTTTTTAAAGATAATTCTCTGGCGCTGGATTTTCGAACATTCCTGGAAAATATGAAAATGTCGTCTTCACTATCAAAAATCCTCGAAACAGGAATAAAAGTAACTATCAGTTCATAAATAATATAAAATATTATGAAATATCAACTAAATACGAATGCGTCGAAAAATTATCGATGATTATCGGTTGTAATAACTGAATGATTTGTTTGGAATTAAATTGATTTTCTTTACGATCCGAATTATATATGTAGCAACTTTCTGCATTTGTATTGACGTTACGTTCTTCGGTATAAGTTGGTTTTAACAATTTGCTCCTTATAGACGCAACAGATAAAAGTAAGATTAGCAGCGATCAAAAGCGATTATTTTTCGCATTAAGCCTATACCCCCTTTCATTTTTCACGAACACTCCCTTTAAAACTGCTGCAGTAAATAAGATATTTGCCGAGATTATAACAGTTGAAGAATTAAATATTTTCGGAGATTAAAACAGTTGAAGAATTATATATTTGCAGAGATTAAAACAGTTGAAGAATAAAATATTTGCCGAGATTAAAACAGTTGAAGAATCAAAAATTTCGGAGATTAAAACAGTTGAAGAATAATATATTTGCAGACATTAAAACAGTTGAAGAATAAAATATTTGCAGAGATTAAAACAGCTGAAGAATTAAATATTTTCGGAGATTAAAACAATAAAAGAATAATATATTTGCAGAGATTAAAACAGTTGAAGATATTAAATAAATTTTAAAAAATACGATTTTTGGCGTCTTTTTTTAAAATCTGTTATTCTTTTGTCCTACTTTATCTTCTTTTGTCTTATTTTATCTTCTTTTGTCTCCTTTTGTCTTATTTTATCTTCTTTTGTCTTATTTTATCTTCTTTTGTCTTCTTTTGTCTTATTTTATCTTCTTTTGACTTATTTTATCTTCTTTTGTCTTCTTTTGTCTTATTTTGTCTTATTTTATCTTCTTTTGTCTTATTTTATCTTCTTTTTTCTTATTTTATCTTCTTTCGTCTTCTTTTGTCTTATTTTATCTTCTTTTGTCTTATTTTATCTTCATCTGACTTCTTTTGTCTTATTTTATCTTCTTTTGTCTTTTTTGTCTTCTTTTGTCTTCTTTAGTCTTATTTTATCTTCTTTTGTATTATTTTATCTTCATCTGTCTTCTTTTGTCTTATTTTATCTTCTTTTGTCTTCTTTTGTCTTCTTTTGTCTTCTTTTGTCTCCTTTTGTCTTATTTTATCTTCTTTCGTCTTCTTTTGTCTTAATTTATCTTCTTTTGTCTTCTTTTGTCTTATTTTATCTTCTGCTGTCTTATTTTGTCTAGTTTTACCGTCTTAAATAAAAAATTTAGTCCCCAGACATTTAATTAATTATGCCCTTTATTACTTGAATAAGGTCGTCTTTCTTTTTTAAGAGTTAACCTTACATTTAATGCTTGGATTAAAAACTTTAAATTATCACTGAAATCATAAATTTCTTTACATCGGATATTTGTCACTATATCACTATTAAAACTGAACTGATACTGAGTTCACTATATTCAGGGGTGTTCATTTACTTAATCATCCCTGTTTACATCCTACTTTCAGGACTTAGAACTGACTTTTCATTTCTAAATATTAGCAAATATTTGACAGAAAATATTCTGATCAAAGTTTTCAAATGTTGAAATATATAACTTATCCTTCAATAGATCTAGAAATGCAGGTAGATGCTTTGGACTGGGGAGATTTGTAGACTCGGTAGACTTGGTAGACATTTTTGACTTAAGGTAAAATATGTAGCCTTGTAGACTGTTCAAATTCTATTTATTAGGTAAACTTTATCGACTTGGTAGACTTTACACACTTGATAGAATTTATAGACTTAGTTGACTTTATAGACTTGGTTGACTATATAGACTTGGTAGACTTGGTAGCCTAGACTTGGTAGACTTGGTAGCCTAGACTTGGTAGACTTGGTAGACTCGGTCGACTTTATCGGCAGGGTATTCAATGAGACTGGGTAGACTTAGTAGATTTGGTAAATTAGATAGATTTAGAATATAGACTTGGTAGACTTTATAGAAATTAATAGACTAGACTTTGCGGTCTGTCGTAAACGGTCAATTTTGAGTAAATTTCTTTGATTTAAATATTTTGCTTAAACATCTGATTTAAGGACCGAGATATTTAGAACTATTAGTACTCAATACTCCAGGTATATGTTAATATATGTACACATATATATATAGTATTATTTTACTTATAGTTTTATTACAAATGAAGAAATCGGGTCAGACCCATGAAACATTTTGTCTTGGAAACTATATATTTAAACATCTAAATGTATATTTAAACTGAAAAAAGTTGAAAATACTATGTCAAAATTAGCGAAATGAAAGCTTTCTTTGTTGAATATTTTAATGAGAAAATTAGATTTTGCAATACGGGCTTATATACAGGGTTACCCACAAAGGAAGAGACTATACAGGCGACCTACAAATCTCAAGGTTGAATTTGGTCTGAGGCTCTGAGAGCTTCTGTGTGGATATTGTTAATCTTGAACACTTGATCTAGATATCCAATATGGGAAATTTATAACTTGAGGATATATGCTTGATCCCTCAACTAAAGTTATCCCTGCAGGGTATTACCATCACGAGATATTGAAGTGGAATTAAATTAAACCGTAGATCTGCATAAGATGGATAGATCAATACTTGATCCCTAGATTTACATTACAAAAGTTTTATCTTCTGTTGACTGAAATATAGCCTTACACATGATTTAACATAGAAATAAACAAGTTTCAAGTTGTAGGTAATCAAGTAGGTAATCAAGTAGGTAATCAAGTAGGTAATCAAGTAGGTAATCAAGTAGGTAATCAAGTAGGTAATCAAGTAGGTAATCAAGGTAATCAAGTAGGTAATCAAGTAGGTAATCAAGTAGGTAATCAAGTAGGTAATCAAGTAGGTAATCAAGTAGGTAATCAAGTAGGTAATCAAGGTAATCAAGTAGGTAATCAAGGAAGAAATTCCGTACAGTCGTCTCTGAAGTCTCGTCCTTTATCTCTAACCCTGTATCTCTACAAATATTCTGGACACTATGAGTTATCATAATTACAACAACAAGCCGCGTTTCTCAATCAAAGACTTTATAAAGACTATAAACATGGGTATTAGGGACGACTAGTCATAGATCTATGTAAATTGAGTATAGTCTAGTTTGAACCAAAGAAAATATTCTGAGCTTTCTAACTTGTGCTCAGTCCCTTATGTAAGAATGACAGAGATGTTGAAAATGAGATAATTCCGTTTTTACTCTAGTTCTTAAATTCAAAACTTAATTTTAGAATGAATTCAAAGACTTTAATTTGGAATTTAGCTCAGTTTTCACATCCTGAAGATTGGGATAAATTGTTTTTATAATGATATATCTAAATAATTGGCTATTTTCAGGCTTTTGCATCAAATACCATGTGTCTAGCTAAGCATAATATTTTTTTTTAAGAATAAAGAATTTCAGGTCGCTTTTTAAAAGTTTATGTTGTGGCATTTATAAAATTGTATACGTATGAATTTTCAAACAATAATCATAAAATGCCTTCTCCACATGTGCTTTAAAATTAATATGAAGAATGGAGAATGGAGATATGAAAGATATCTTTTATGATATAATTTTTTACGAAAGGAAGTATGGTAGTTCTACAGGGTTACAAACAAAGGATGAGACTGTAAAGACGACTTAAAACTTTTAAAATATAACGATCCTAAGGTTGAAAAAAGTCTTCTGTCTCAAATATTCTTTCAATTGCTTATTTCATGATCTTCCAGAAAAGGAAACAAGGATATGTCCGCAGGGAACCATATATGTAAGGAAACAGACAGTATTAATTTAGCAGAATCGTCTCTGAAGTCTCATCCTTTGTGGGTACTCTGTATTTCTCACTATAGATTGAGGAACGCGACAATTATAGAAAAATTTATGCTGAATACATCTCAATAAAAATGGAATAATGTAGATTTTATTAATGATATTCAGTTTGCAATCAATCTTCATAAATATGAGTTCCATGATTCCTGTTTTTGAATGTCTTGTTAGGCTGATAATTTTGTTTTGGAAATGACAGAAACTGTTTCAAATGTCGTCTTCTGCGTGATTTCTTTTGTTTGAATAGTATTGGGGATACAAGAATTAAAGTGTTTGATTTAGTTCAAATTTAATTTAAAAAGCGTACAATTCAAAATAAAGCGTACTGGTGAATAGCACAGCCACAATACAGGGGGGGGGGTTACAACCCCCTTCGCTTGTCTACACAAAAACTTCCAAGACAAATACTAAAATTGCGCGACTTTTCAGGGGTAAATTAGTCATCAAGGCGCAAACTAAACTCAACCTGTAGATTGTTATATATAAAGAAATTTAGGTCGTCATTAAAGTGTCATCCTTTGTGAGAAACCCTGTAAATGGATATTGGATATGGTTACGCAGAAAGGATAATACTATAATAGAAACCCTGTAAATGGATATGGGATACGGTTACGCAGAAAGGATATTACTATAACAAAAACTCTGTAAATGGATATTGGATATGGTTACGCAGAAAGGATAAGACTATAATAGAAACCCTGTAAATGGATATGGGATACGGTTACGCAGAAAGGATAAGACTATACTAAAAACCCTGTAAATGGATATTGGATATAGTTACGCAGAAAGGATAAGACTATACTAAAAACCCTGTAAATGGATATGGAATACGTTTACACAGAAAGGATATTACTATAACAAAAACTCTGTAAATGGATATTGGATATAGTTACGTAGAAAGGATAAGACTATAATAGAAACCCCGTAAATGGATATGGGATACGGTTACACAGAAAGAATAATACTATAACAGAAACTCTGTAAATGGATATTGGATATGGTTACGCAGAAAGGATATTACTATAATAAAAACCCTGTATAAATGGATATGGGATACGGTTACGCAGAAAGGATATTACTATAACAAAAACTCTGTAAATGGATATTGGATATGGTTACTCAGAAAGGATAAGACTATACTAGAAACCCTGTAAATGGATATTGGATATGTTTACGCAGAAAGGATAAGACTATAACAGAAACATTTTATCTCCTTCAAACCGATGGCACATAAAGTCGGAAAATAAGTTTCCTGGGTAAAAAAACACGACTGAATGTATTATTTTCCATTACTAAAATCATCTGGTCACTAAGGATATTTGCAATTAGAAATCAAATAAGTCTTGTAGAAGTAAGTCATTTCGTATATTTATAATTTTTGGGAGGTTTTACGGTGGGGGTGGTTTCAATCGTATTTTATAATTGAAATACTAAAAATCATGTAAAGATGTGTTAATCGGGTCTTCCAGTATGTACTTCAAATACATTTTTATGCAATTGTACATGTTTGTTAAGTTTGATTTTCGATTGCTTCCCTCCCCATCGCGCGAATTATGATTTGGGGGCGAAATCAACATCTATAATCAATGAAAGTTTCGCGGATTATTTAATTTATTTTTATGTACATACAAACATGCATGGTTTAGAGCATCTCAAAACCTATAATTACAAGAAATATTTTCTATCAATCCATCTATACATCCTTGTCTGATACCCTGAGGTATCACGTAATCTAGGGACTGCACCTGATCCTAAACTCCAATCCTGAACTAATTATTCCTACAAGGTCGGAGATAATGTCTTGTTTAGGACCCAGAGCACCTGAACCCTGAGTTTCAAACCAACAGCCTGGAATTTTCAAATTGATTTTACTGAATTCATTTGAACGGAATTTAACGGAAATTATTTGATGAAGCGTTTACATTGGTTTACACTGTTCTCCTGGTACTCATGGTACACATATTAACATACCAATCTATTGTATCATGGGTAGGGAGTAGGAAGAGGGGAGAGGAAAAGGATAAAGGGAGGGAATACGAAGGATATAGGAAGGAAGAGGAGAAGAATAAAGAAAGAGAGTCGGAAGAGAAGAAGGTAGGAAGAAGGGAGAGTAGAAGGATTGAGAAAGGAAGGAGAGAGAGAGGACAAGGATAAAGGAAGGGAGGAGAGAGAGTAGAAGTATAAAGGAAGAACGTAGAGAGAGGAGAAGGATAAAGGAAGAGAGGAGAGAGAGGAGAACGATAAAGAAAGGAAGGTGGGAGAGGAGAAGGACATAGGAAGTAAGTAGGGAGTGGAGAAGGATAGAGGAAGAGAGGAGAGAGAGGAGAAGAATAAAGGAAGGTAGGAGATAGAGGAGACGGAGGAGAGGGAGTAGAAGTATAAAGAAAGGACGTAGGGAAAGGAGAAGGATAAAGGAAGAGAGGAGAGAGTTGGGAAGGGAAAAGAAAGGGAGGAGAGAGAGGAGAAGGATAAAGGAAGAGAGGAGAGAGTTGAAAAGGGAAAAGTAAGGGAGGACAGAGAGGAGAACGATGATGTATTGATTTAAATCTCGACTAGAGAGAGTTAGATCAATATCATGAGATCAATCGAAGTACAGGTGTCTAATCTAGCACCATGTGTTTAATATTCTTCCTTTCTCAGCGTTTCCACTTTCAATTATATAATTATATTAATTATATTAATTAGATTTATTATCAGAATTTACAAAGTTTCTCTGTCTTGATAAAACCTCAAGATAATTAGAGTGAATCTGATACTTTTAAACCAGTCTGTTTTTCATAACTATTTTCAATCCCCTACTCTATCCCCTGCTCCATCTCCTACTCCATCTCCTACTCCATCTCCTACTCTATCCCCTACTCTATCCCCTATTCCATCTCCTACTCCATCTCCCACTCCATCTCCTACTCCATCTCCTACTCCATCTCCTACTCCATCTCCTACTCTATCCCCTACTCTATCCCCTATTCCATCTCCTACTCCATCTCCTACTTCATCTCCTACTCCATCTCCTACTCCCTCTCCTACTCTATCCCCTATTCCATCTCCTACTTCATCTCCTATTCTATGTCATACTCTTTCGCCTTCTACATCTCCTACTTCATCTCCATACTCCATCTCCTACTCCAGTCCCTACTCCATATCCTACTCTATCGCCTACTCCATCTTGTACTCCATCTCCATCTCCTACTCCATCTCCATCTCCTACTCCATCTCCATCTCCTACTTCATTCCCTACTTCAACCTGTACTCCATTTCCTACTCCATCCCCTAATCCCTCTCCTAGTCCATCCCCTTTTCCATACTCTACTCTATCGCCTATTCCATCCTGTACTTCATCTCATAAGCCATCTCCTACTCCATCCCCTACTCGATCTGTAGTAAATGCGTTACTCATGAAACTGCTTACAGACCCGTATCAATCCAGGTACAACTCTTAACTAACAATGCCAAACACGGGCACGATCTCTTTAGCCATCAATGTCAACACGGACACAAGCACGCAAACTATCAATGCCAAACACGGAAACTCTTCAGCTATCAATGTCAAAACGAACACAAGCTTTTAAACTATCAACGTCAAAAACGGACATGATATCATAAACTCGTTCGCTAAACGAGGAACAATTACTCTCTCACTGTAATCAAAGTGTAGTCTAATATTCCAACTAAATGTATTTGGGGTTCTATGTACAAGTTTTACGTCGAAATATATACAACATAGTTAAGCTAATCATGTTACATGGTTATTTACAGGGCAGTTGAGATAAATCAACGTATGGTTTTACATAGTTATTTACAAATAATGGACAACGTAACTCAGGTTTACAGATTATTGTTACACGATTTTCATTACACATCTCCTATTTCATTCCCTACTCCATCCTGTAGTCCATCTCCTACTCCATCCCTTACTTCCTCTCCTATTCCATCCCCCTACTCCATCCCCTACTCTATTTCCTACTCTATCGCCTACTCCATTTTCTACTCTATCGCCCACTCCATCCTGTACTCCATCTCCTACTCCATCTTCTACTCCATCTCCATCTCCATCTCCTACTCCCTCCCCTACTCCCTCCCCTACTCCATCTCCTTCTCTATCTCCTATTCCATCTCCTACTCTATCTTCTTCTCCATCTCCTACTCCCTCCCCTACTCTCATACTCATACTCCATCCCCCACTTCATTTCATACTTTATTCCCCTACTCCATCTTCAACTCCAACTCTTACTTAACATCAATCTCCATCCCTGTTATATTTCCCATACTCTAGTAAAAATATTTCGTATTTAGAGTCAAGTTTAGGTAGCTCAAGGTAGCTCTATTCAAACTGCTTAGGCTTAGGTGGGACCCGGAGAAAAAATGAATTGAGTTAAAAACGACCTGTCAGCTGAGATAAGTAAGGTTTACCCAGATAATCCGAACCTTCATCTATACCTAGACCCTGAGCTAGCCTAGTCTCTTCCAACCGTTATTTTCAACAAATATTTAGAATATATAAATGTGCGGATAAAGATCAAAGTGATTTTTCTTCCTCCCAAAACCGGAATTTTCCAAAATAATGATTATTCTTTCTTTTCGTTTTTAGAAAATTTCAAATTTATGAACCTCCGTCATTCAACTTTGAAATGTTTTGAAAATATCCTTTCATTTATAGTTCAGACTTTATATATATATTATTATGTTTAGGGGATATTTTGATATTCATGAATACAAGAATCTGGGTCTATGTCCTCCTTCATCTATATATATATACATATATAAAGTAGTAATCTCTGTTTGTATTTTTGTATCCGATCATAACTCTGTGCCCACCTTTGCCAATTTGCCTCAAGTTTTGATTGGAGAGCTCGGTAGAACCACGGGAATGTTCTTAGCTTGGTTTTAAGAAATCTATTTATAGGGAAAGTTTAGTTTCCTTGTAAAGTTGAATTCTAAAGCTAGTTTAGAAATATAGTAACGAAGTATCATAAAATAAACAGGTTTAAAACATGGAAAATATTAATCACTAAACATTTAGGGTGACACTAAAAACAGACCATTTAGGATTTTGGAGCCCTGGAGTTCTAAAGTTAGGTCCGTGGTGAAACTTTTCATTTTAGAGAGGTATTTTTTATTATTTATTTTTTATTCAAAGCCTTTCCTGAATTTGTCCCAAGAAAGACACTTTACAAAAATAAAAGGTAGATAATAGGACCCAATTTTGAGACTTTTAAATCCGCGAAAAGGTTTCAAAACCATGATCACTCTTTTCTCGGGACACCCTGGAGATTACCCAAACCATAGGATAAACATTTTCTATCAATTAATCTCAAACTTAGAGATTAATTATGAAGATTATTTAAACCTTGAGTTGGTAACGTAAACAGCTATACAATGAGAACCAGAAAACTCTGGAATAGAACGGAGACTTTTAGACTCAAGTTATGACTTTCTATAGTCCATTGAACATGAGACACAGCAATTGTTTAGTGCAAACAGACCTATTTAACTAAATAATTGATTTGATAAGTTTTTAGTAAAACTTTTGGCTTTGTAACAACATGAATTATAAACCTGGAGTTTGATTTCAAACCTTAAAAAAGGGTTTAAATATTAATACTTCCCATCTACAATGAGAGTCATACAACTGTGAAGAAGGAAGACGAGTGTAAGGCTCACGTGATTATTGAATAGTCCAATATGAACATGATACAAAACAGGAATACATTCCATTTCACTGATTAAGATCATTTTTGAAGCTACTAGTAAACTTCTTGGGTTAGGACAAGATCAAATACACGAAAGATTACTGAAATGTCGTCTTGGTAACTTTGATTCATAAAAACCTCATTCTTAAAGGGACTGCAAGCGTAATTTCAAGTGACCCTCCATGCAAAGATGGCAATGACCGATTTACAACGGTACCATTGAAAGCTTTATCCATAGATAAAGATAGATTGCGCATAAGACGACATTTTTCATCTTGAAAGATATAAATGTACAGAGATGTTTTAAAGATATTCCTATTTTATAGATTAACTAGGTCGGTTGTGAACATTGGCTGTTCTTATGTCATTGAGTACTTGTGGTGTACATGAGTTCTGTAGAGAGAAATTTAGGTTAGTTTAGTCCTTCTCATGTCCTTCTTCAGTTTTCGTCAATATGATATATTGCTCAGTGAAATATTGTTGTTCAAATAGTTCCATTCCCGGAGTTATTTTACACTCTATTATGAAATCCATTAAAACACCAAACTACCCCACTTATCATTGAAGTACACTTTGACCCCTAGAAATATGAGTTCGCGGACTGTACAATTCTTGGTGTTTTTGCGTACATAAGCTATCTATGTTTATTTATTTATCTATGGCTTTATCTCACCAAGTTTTAATTAGATATAAATGTTTTTATTTATTTAAACTTTTTATTTTCATTTAGAGTTTCTATGCGAAAGTGAGTTGCACATATCTAGCTTAAAAGAAGCAATAGAGAAAACTCACAGAAATAAACACTTTTTGATTCAGAAAAAAACTGTATCTTCTACATTTCTGATCATATCAAGGTTGTAAGGGAACCGTTTAAATCGGACATTGCCATCTTTGCATGGAGGGTCACTTGAAATTACGCTTACAGACCCTAAATACCGGTCAAGGGATATCAGTCTACTCGACTTTACCCATAACGTCATTCTTCTTTTTTTCTCTGTTCCCTGTATAATCTTCCATACAGGAGATATGTCCTCACATTTCTTCTCCTTTATACCCTAGTGTCCAACCATAATTCTCCGTATCCACCAAGATATCTCATAAAACTAAATCCTGAATGGTCCTGGACCCAAACCTACAATATCAGCTAAAATATATTCTCTCCGATTAAAGAATAAGATTACCCTTATTCAGAGTTTTGTTGGAGCGTTATCTTTCAGTAGTTCCAACCTTACCACCCAAACATGGCATTATTGAAGGTTTTGCAACAAGATTTTAACTTTTTAACAAAACGTGACCAATATGGTCTAGTGGTCTGGGGGTTGGAGATAGACGCAAAGAACTAGTGTATCTTAGAATTATCTTCATTGTTTTCAGTTTAGAACAAATACATGATACAAAGGGTTTGATCTGATCTGATGAAACTCCTGATGGTTATAAAATCAGAAGAAGGACGGGATGGTTGTAGGCAGGGGTGGGGGGATGGGGGTGATTGTTCAGTATTGCTTTAAGTACCAGTAAATCTGAGTATAGAGTTAGAGAAGTAAGTAAATACTGATGAAGAAAGAAAATGATAGATTGCTCCCAGGATATCTAGGAGGTGTGGGAAGGTTAGGTTGGATGCCTGTGAGAGAGATTACGGTCGGGAGAGAAATAAACTGATCGGATCCAAAGTTTCTCTGAACCTCACCAGATGGCGTGAAGTTCACGGATAGATTGTCAGATGGTTCAGCTGGTTCATCTCATCCGGAGAATTTCAGTCAGATGGCGGTTTCTAATGTTCATAAACGATACTTATTTTATTTCTCCAGATGTGATTCAATCGTAAATTATGGTCCAGTTGAAGCTCGCGTACACTGTACACTTTACAGCTATATGAAGGACTAGGATAGGGGTTGGGATAGAAAATCCAGAAAAACGGAAGGAAAGGAGGAATTGGATAAGATGGAGAAATAACTTATCCAGGGGGAAATCCCCAACAGGGAAAACTGGAAAAAAGGTAAAACAGAAAATACAGGATAAGAAGGAGAAATATCATAGCCATGTGAAAAGGGGAAAGAGGGAAAACTGAAGAAAAAGAAAAACAGGATAAGATGGAGAAACAAAAACACGGGAAAAAGAAAAATAGGATAGTATAGAGGAAGAAATCCCCGAACGAGGATTATGAAATCCGAAAATCAGTAGAATCGGATCTTGGAACTAGAGAAGACCTACTCAACTTCCTCTCCTTTTATACACTCGTTATTTATCATGTAAATTATATCTAGAAGCAACAAATGTACTTCTAAAATAGTGAAGAAACTATATACAGAAACTAGACGATCTACAGAACTACATGAACTGCATGAACTACATGAACTACATGAACTACATGAACTACATGAACTACATGAACTACATGAACTACAAGAACTGTAGAATCTGGAACTATAGGAACAACAGGAACAATGGGAACTATAGGAACTACAGGAACTACAGGAACTACTGGATCTACAGAACTACATGAACTGCATGAACTATAGGATCTATAGGAACTATAGGAACTATAGGAACTACAGGACTACAGGAACTACAGGAACTACATGAACTATAGGAACTACAGAACTACAGGAACTTCAGGAACTTCAGGAACTACAGTACTACAAGAACTTCTGGATCTACAGAACTACAGGAACTACATGAACTACATGAACTACAAGAACTGTAGAATCTGGAACTATAGGAACAACAGGAACTATAGGAACTATAGGAACTACAAGAACTACAGGAACTACATGACCTACAGGAACTACAGGAACAACATGAACTACAGGAACTACATGAACTACAGGAACTATAGGAACTACATGAACTACATGAACTACAGGAAATACAGGAACTATAGGAACTATAGGGAATACAGGAACTACAGGAACTACAGGAACTACAGGAACTACAGGAACTACAGAACTACAGGAACTACAGGAACTATAGGAACTACAGGAACTACAGGAACTACATGAACTACAGGAACCACATTAACTATAGGAACTACCGGATCTACAGAACTACATGAACTACAGGAACTACAGGAACTACAGGAACTACAGGAACTACATGACCTACAGGAACTACAGGAACTACAGGAACTACATGAACTACAGGAACTATAGGAACTACATGAACTACATGAACTACAGGAACTACAGGAACTACATGAACTACATGAACTACAGGAACTCAAGGAACTACAGAAACTACAGAAACTACAGAAACTACAGGAACTACATGAACTACAGGAACTACAGGAAGTAAAGGAACTATAGTAACTATAGGGACTACAGGAACTACAGGAACTACAGAACTACAGGAACTACAGGAAGTACAGGAACTACATGAACTACAGGAACTACAGGAACTACAGGAACTACAGGACCTACAGGAACTACAGGAACTACAGGAACTATAGGAACTACAGGAACTACAGGAACTACAGAACTACAGGAACTACAGGAACTACATGAACTACATGAACTACAGGAACTCAAGGAACTACAGAAACTACAGAAACTACAGAAACTACAGGAACTACATGAACTACAGGAACTACAGGAAGTAAAGGAACTACACGAACTACAGGAACTAAAGAAATAAAAGGGTCTACAGAACTACACGAACTACAGGATCTACAGAAAGTAGAGGATCTACAGAACTACAGGAACTACAGAAAGTGAAGGGCCTACAGAACTACCCGAACTACAGGATCTAAAGGTTGAAATGAGAGGAAAAGTAATCTACGAAAATGAGGTTAATTAAAGTGTAGAATAAACGATTGCTATGTACATATAAGTATCCAGGAACAGAAGAACAGGTATTTATCTAGTGTGGGGACAGGTGATCTAAATACACCGGAGAGTGAATGTAGGAATGCTGAACTCTCTATCTCTCTATCTCCTACATTCCAACCCTTGACAGGTGTAGGAGGGATCGGAGAGAGATGGGGAGAGCGAAGAAAGAGCTAGAATCAGATAATTAGCATAATAATAAACCTGGATGTTATCCCACCTTGAATCAGACTATAAATCTTCTTCAGAGTATTATCGCTAACTTTATGCCATAAGTTTATAAAAATTTGCATACAGTTTGTGCACCTCAAAATATTTGCAAATTTAGAACTTTATAAATGAAAAATTCACCAAATTCATCGGCAGTAGATTAAGAAGAGTTGTGGTTAAGATGAAAATGATTATGTAACAATCCTGTAAAGATATTCTACTAATTACCCTTTGTGTTTCGTATATCCGTGTATCCTTGTAAACTAGAATTAGAAACCTGCATCCTTATCTGTCTCTCAAATCAGATATATCTGGTTTTTATTTCGTAATTATATCTTTCATCATTGTCTACTATACCCCTGGTATACACGGAGTCTATGCACTTGAACCAAACCTAGCATGAATCCTATAACCCTGATAAAAATCTAAGATAGTTAGAGAAGGATGGACGTGCCAACTAAAATCAATAAAAAAGTCCAAGGTTGGAAGGATAGGTCGGCCATCTTCATTCTTTCCCGCATTTATCATAAATCCCTAAACACGAGATCCATGAAAACCAGTTTTGAAATAATCTTTAAAGCCTGCAGGTCAAAATCTGATGTTAACTAATGATGATGAAAACGTAAAAACAACTTTTAATAATCTTCGCAATCACAACCGCTTGCAAATTCAATATTAAAAATGGAAAAACATTTTAAAAACTGAAATTATTTGTAATCTTAATATTCTAACGTTATCCCCTCACATAGATTTATTATTTATGTAAATATTAATTTAAAACACAATTGAAATTCCAAAGTGAAAAAGAAATTTATATATCATAGATTCATATTTGAGTTTATTATTTACTTTTGTGATTAAACTTGAGAGAAAATATAGTGCGAAAATTTATTCTTGCATCGATATCTCAAACGTGCCAGAATAGAATTTCGCGGTTCGAAAAAAAGCTTTTAAGAATTGCATAAAATTGTACAATATAAATACCGCAGACGTATCTAAAGTTTAAAAGTGCATCCCTCCCTTCCAAAAACGAACCGTATGTTAAAGATGTGTAGAACCTGATTAGATTGGATTTAGATTAGACAAAAAGGTTGAATGAGGTATGCGGCTCTGGTATAATCTATTAAGACCATATGGTAGAGGAATTAGAGAATTTATGTTCAATGATATTTAGTTCTAAACCAGGAGAAGGAGGAGAATCAACAGACTCAAGGTAGGGTACGGAGAAGCATAAACCTTGGAACATTTAGTTCTAAACCAGGAGAAGGAGGAGAATCAACAGACTCAAGGTAGGGTACGGAGAAGCATAAACCTTGGAACAATGTACTTTAAATCTTAATATGATTCAGATAAGAGAGAGAATTATAACTGGACTAGGAAAAGTAATGAACCTTATATAGGATATTAGGATTAAATCCTTAAAGAAAGAGAATTGAAACCAACTATCAAAACAAAGAATTGAAACCTATAAAGGATTAAAAGGAGGGTTAAAAACCTTTAAACATGGTTTAATCCTCACTGGAGAACATTGTCCGCCAATCCAAAAATTTGATCTCTAAAAGGAGAGGCTTGAAACCTAACTAAGAAGAGGGTTCTATCTATAAAAGGAGAGGCTTGAAACCTAACTATGAAGAGGATTCGATCTATAAAAGGAGAATATTGAAACCTAACTAAGAAGAAGATTCGATCTATAAAAGGAGAGAATTGAAACCTAACTAAGCAGAGGATTCTATCTATAAAAGGAGAATATTGAAACCTAACTATAAAGAGGATTTGATCTTTAAAAGGAGAGGCTTGAAACCTAACTATGAAGAGGATTCGATCTATAAAAGAAGAGTATTGAAACCTTATTAACAAAATAATTCCAACGGTAAACAAGAGAGGATTGAACCCTAGAATATGATTGATCCAAGCAGGAGCATTTAATTAAACCTTTATAGATAGAAGATTGGATCGAACTTACAGATTTTAACTAGGATCCAATGAAAAAAACCATGAAGATTTAGATATTACTAAACCTGACCCTTTAAATATAATAGTCTGTATAAACAAAAAGAAATGAATGGTTGGATGGAAGGGGGTTGGGAAATGAATAGCCTGTAAAAAGGAAATGGTTTGCCCTCCATCTATTTAATATAACTCCAGGGTTCCAGTAACCCTACTCACCGAGTTTATGAAGTCTAATTGCTTAGTTCTAGAACTCCACATGTTGATCCCCTCCCNCCCTCTCTCTATACAACAACCATCTCCCCTCTCTCCATACAATAACCAACTCCCCTCTCTCCATACAACAACCATCTCCCCTCTCTCCATACAACTACCATCTCCCCTCTCTCAATACAACAACCATCTCCCTTCTCTCCATACGACTACCATCTCCCATCTCTCCATACAACAACCATCTCCCCTCTAACTATACAACAACTGTCTCCCCTCTCTCCATACAACAACAATCTCCCTTCTCTCCATACTACAACCATCTCCCATCTCTCCATACAACAACCATCTCCCCTCTAACTATACAACAATCATCTCCCCTCTCTCCATACAACAACCATCTCCCCTCTCTCCATACAATAACCATCTCCCCTCTAATCATACAACAACCATCTCCCCTATCTCCATACAACAACCATCTCCCCTCTAACCATACAACAACCATCTTCCCATTCTCCGTACAATAACCATATATCTAAATCCATACACTAACCATCTACCCAAGTTCATGTATAAACAATCTCAATGAATCTCCATACACGAACTATCTCCCCAAAAACAGCAACCATCTTTTTTCGCTACACCAACCATCTCCTTTGAATACAACCAACCATCTTCTTACAATACACCAACCATCTTCTTTCAATACACCAACCATCTCCTTACAATACACTAACCATCTTCTTTCAATACACCCACCATCTCCTTTCAATACACAAACTATATCCTTCTCCTCCTTCTTCGCCTTCTTTTCCTGCTGCTCCTTCTTTTCCTGCTGCTCCTTCTTTTCCTGCTGCTCCTTCTTCTCCTTCCAATTCTCCTCAACTAGGCTATTCTCAATTTCTCCTCTTCCTCCTACTCCTTTAATTTCTTATCTTTCACCTTAATCTTCTCCTCCTCCTGGTCTTATTGATCTATGTACATTGTACTGTGCCTGTGTTCCCCTGAATACCCGGAGTGGAAACCACCTGTGATGTTCAAAGCAACACTCGCATTCCTGAGTCGGCCTGGGTCGGACACTCAGATCTCTCAGTGTGTATCTAGACACGGAGAGAGTAGGAGAACAAATCCATCACAACCCTTACTTCCAGTTATCCAGTTCACCAGCTTTTTCTTAAATTAAGAACAGGTAAAACCAGGCACTTTTAGATATACTCATTAGTTAATATCATTCAAGGTTTGACTTAACAAGTGAGAGAAAGAGAGAGAGAGAGAGAAGGGATTAAAGTTTTGAATTGACACTAAGTATAATATTGAGATGTGAAGTTTAACACATGTGAACTGATCTCAATGAGTTTATCGCATGTGGGCCTCTCCCCCCCACCCACATCTAGTCTTCAATTACTGCTCTTTAACATCTGCTAGTCTGTAATAGAAAATTATTTTCATTTTTGTGGATGTTTATCGTTCACAACTCTTAAATAAAAATATATTTGTTATCTTCATCCTTTCATTCAAATATATTCTAATGTTACTTGATTGTTTAACCATTTCAGACCCAGATTATTTGATCTAACATAATTTAAAGTTTGAAATATCTATGGTCGACGACATTGGGATGCAAATGTAAAGGGATTTAAAAAATCTGAGCTTGTGGCAAAAATTCCTTAAACTTCAGGAGATAAAAAATGTTTTAGAAATTGTTTGAGATTTTATCTTTCTATAAACCTGACCAGTTTTAATGTTTGATCCTAGAATGAGAAACATGATATAAAATCTAGTTCATAGTTCCTGGTTTCTATGTGAATCAGGGCGGTGTTAGTTTATTTCAATTCTGCACGCTACTGAGCACGTATACTAGAGAGAATCGCCCTTTTAAACCTTTTGAGCAAACTCCCATGGATTAAACTTTTTTATATCAACACTCCTAAAATTCTATATGTAGTTCTCCCCAGGCCTCGTTCTTATTTAACTTATAAAGAACAAATAAGATTTCTCCATGACTCAGGATCCTTATCTGATACTGAACTTGGCAGGGATATAAATTTTCATAAACATTAACTCCCATCTTTTTAAAATCATTGATTTCGAACTTTTCGGTAAAATAAGTGATTTTTTTTGGCAAAATTTTTGAATTTTAGTGTGAATTAATTTCATAAATGGGTAAAAAATTTAAATTCCATTTTTAACATTTTTCCCCAAAAAAGTTCAAAAATTATTTCCCCTGGATAATTTTCTTGGATGAAAATATAAACCCCTGGGAACTGAGTGTGAGTATTGTCTAGATTACTAATTATCTATATTGTAGGATGGCTGTATACGAGCTAGATGATGAATTATCACCGACAGATACATCTGAAGACAGTATAGATGTCAGAGTTAAACAGATCCGTAGTTCCTCGACCACCAACAGGAAAAATAAGAGAAAATCCAATGAACCGCGACGGTTTAACGTCCAAGAAAGCTCGGAGTTTAAACGGCGGCGGCTCAACAGCACCGGCTCGGAGGAGAGATCACAGAATTTGTCCGGCTCAAGGTCTCCCTCTCCCTCACCGAGCTCCCCAAGCCTGGATACAAAGAAAAGTCCTGAACCCATCTCCCCCCAGTATCTTGCTCCTAAAAAGAGATTTAAACTCGACGCATTAAGAGAAATTCAAAGATTAAAGGACGAAGAATCTGCGGAGAAATCAGATCTTGGATCCGTGAATTCTCTAAACCCGTTCAGACCTTGGAGTCAAACCGCGGAGTCATCTCCTCCACCCACACCTGTCCTGATACCGGAGATGCCTTGCATTCCTTTCCTACTTCAGGGCCTACACGGAGATGTTCCACTAGCATTCCTTCCTGGTCTTCTCCAACCCTCTATCCTTATTCCTTCTCTTCCAGTCCAGGACGAACCTCTCTCCCTCGTGAAAGAGAAGAAACCCGAAATTTTGCCTAAAAGTGATAAAGTGAAGAAAGCCCCCCGAACAGATAAAAATATCGAGTCCTCACCACCCAAGAAGAAATCCATCAAGACTGAACCTGTCACAATAAAAATAGAGCCTTGTCTCAAAGAGGAAATTTCCTCGCCTGACGATAAATCTAAGCAAAGAAACTACAAGAATCTAACAAGAGAAAGACGGATCGAAGCGAATGCTCGAGAGCGTCAAAGGGTCCACACGATAACTGCAGCATTTGATACACTGCAAGCTGCTATCCCATCAGAGGATGAAAATATCAAACTATCCAAACTATCTGTGATAAAGATTGCTACAGCCTATATCATGGCTCTCTCTAGAATGGCTGGATATGATTATACAGAGGATAGATCTGCTCCGTCCCTTGAATCCGTTCTTGAACATTGCAGAGAAACCATCCATACAGAATCTAGGATCAAGAAGAGAGTGTAAAAACAAATTTTTCTACTATTTATCTATTTACATTAATCGTATTTTTGGGATTATTTATTGTTTTGTTACATGAACACAAAACTGGCTGTGAAATATATTTTATCCGAACTTAACTAAATGAATTTTCAAATTTAAAGAAAATTAAGATAAACCAGAGACATGAGGGACAACGACATTGTTGATTATTATTACATTAGAAGCTATTTAAACGCAAGGTATGAGTTCTGTATTTCCCCGACTATGTGTTAGTACTGTATCTCCATGATCATCTCTGATTACTGTATCTCCATGATCATCTCTGATTACTGTATCTCCATGATCATCTCTGATGACTGTATCTCCATGATCATCTCTGATGACTGTATCTCCATGATCATCTCTGATGACTGTATCTCCATGATCATCTCTGATNACACCAGTCTGGACACCAATCCAGTTACTGGCTGTGGACAAGTGTGCTTAACTTCAGTGATCTAACGAGAACTGGTGTCACACACTCTCCACGCCACCCCACATGACTATCTATAAGTGATGTATCTTCATGACTATCTTTTGGTACTATATCTTCATGACTATCTATTGGTACTATATCTCCATGACTTTCTATTGGTACTATATCTCCATGACCATGTATGAGTTCTGTATTTCCATGACTATCTGCAAGTACTGTATCTTCATGACTATCTATGAGTACTGTATCTCTATGACTATCTGCTACTATTGAATCTCTATGACTATTTGTAAGTACTGCATCTCCATGGCTAGCTGCAAGTACTGTCGATTATTCAAAAATTAATTGAAATGCATGGTTCAGACCATGAGTGTAATTGATATCAGATAACTAGTCAGATACGCAGACAAACCTCTAGATAGATAGATAGATAACTATGCCACTATAGGCCTGTAATATTGCTATCTCAATAGCGCTCACTAGGGGAGCGAACATACCTAGCTCTGCATGAGACCAGGATATTATAAAACCGTCTTGGAGTCATACAAACCCATACCTGCTCACACAGGTTCTGCTCAGGGTTCATTCTTAGTACTAATAGTTTGGAGATCAGGTTTTAGATGAGATTTCTTGGAAAGATTGAGAGGAAAAACTATGAGTTTTAAGTCTGGACATTCTTTTTTACTGCTTAATATTTATTCGTGTCCGAAGGTGTAGGAGGACACATGAGAACGTATCAGGAAAAACATATTTTGATATTTTGCCAATAGATATATTCTGGTCCAATGGTTGGGTTAAGCGATGATCAGTGACAAAATTTTAAACATTATGATTAAAGTCACACTAGCACTTTCATTGCCAATTTTTTCCTATTATTTTGTAGATTTTAACATCAAATCAGTTGATTTGTATCAAATTCTGAATTCTTAATGTTTAATTTTATCTTTAATCTATCAAAGTTAGGTTGAGGTTAAATGTTAAACTTCTCAGCCAACAATATCAGATTGATTTGACGCATTCATTTTTCAAAATATGATTTTACAGCTTACATTTAGGTTTACTATTAAACCTGGGATTCTTCTATTAATTTGTGTAAATTAATGGGAAAATCACACGCCTGAGTCTAATTACGAGAAGTTTATAAAAACCTTGTATAATGGATTCTCACAGTTTGCACATGGTGAATATTTCCATGATAAATTTTACCCTCCTCTTACTCTCTTCCTCTCTTTCTAGCCTAATCACTGGTAAATATGCTAATTCTCTAGGTCTGGTTTAACCTGGTAGGTTAGTGCTCAACTATATACCCTGAGCTATGGATTCCATCTGGCTCCGTATTGTCCGAATCTGTGTATAAGTATTGTCCCCGGAGGCGGAGTTAGATTGTAAACTACTGGTTCACACCTTTAACAAAACAATAGTCATCAGTTTAGATATCTTTCAGCAATCAGGTAACTCCTAAACCTGCAACCTGATCAAATATCTCCTGAACCCACAACCTGATCAGATATCTCCTGAACCCAAAACCTGATCAGATATCTCCTGAACCCACAACCTGAACAGAGATCTTATGAATCCACAACCTGATCAGATATCTCCTGAACCCGTCACCTGTCCAGATATCTCCGGAACCCTGAACTTGATCATATATCTATTGAATTCTGAACCGGATCAGATATCTCCGAACCTGCAATCTGATCAGATATCTCCTGAACCCGTCACCTGGCCAGATATCTCCGGAACCCTGAACTTGATCATATATCTATTGAATTCTGAACCGGATCAGATATCTCCGGAACCTGCAACCTGATCAGATATCTCTTGAACCTTTAACATGATCTGATAACTCCTAAACCCACAACCAAATGAGATATCTTTTTATCCCTGAACCTTATAAGATAATGATAATGTTTGAAAATATAATAATGTAAATATATTTTTTGTAAGATAAATAGCATTAGTATGGTTAGTTTAGGTTAACAAGTTTTATGTTAATTCCTAAAAGATCTGACTGTGACTTAGACTGGAGCGCATATCTCAAGTTCAGATTGATTCTCCTCAGACTTCAATACTAACCACCAGTTTCAGGGAGGGTGGGGGGGGGGGTGAGATACTGTTTATATTTATTACAAGTGCAAAGAAATACAATGTACATAATTTTATGGAATGGCCCCGGGGGCTGGATGTATATATATTGCCAGTTCTATACCCTGTACCTGGAGCTAAAGTGTTGTCCGTCCTGCCTCTCCAACTTCCGTTCCTTTGGATTCTTAATGTTCTGAGATTGATAACTCTAGGCTAGTGCTAGAGTACTAGATTGGTAGATTATACCAGGTGGTTCAAAACTCTCAGTACAGCACCATTCAACAGGCTTTACAGGTTAATGAACAACATAGAAGAGAATATTTGATTGATTGATGATGTTACTTTTTGAAGGGGCTGTCGTCTTAAAGGGAGTGTTCGCGAAAAATGAAAGAGGGTATAGGCTTAATGCGATAAAAAAGCGCTTTTTATCGCTACTAATCTTACTTCTATCTGTTGCGTCTATAAGGAGAAAACTGATAAAGACGTCTTATACCGAAGAGCGTAGCGCCCATACAAATTGAGGAAGTTGGAACATACGACTTAGACCGTAAAAAAAATCAAATTAATATCAAACAAATCATTCAGATATTACAACCTATAGTCATCGATTATCTTTCGCCACATTTGTATATATTTAATATTTCATACTAGTTTTGATTTTGTTTTTAAAAATAATATTTAGCTTACAACTTGTTTTCGAACATTCCTGGAAAATATGAAAATGTCGTCTTCATCACCAAAAATCCTCGAAACAGGAATAACTGTTTTTATAAGTAACTCTCAGATCATAACAATTAAAACATATTATGAAAAATCAACTATATATAAATGTGGCGAAAGATAATCGATGACTATAGGTTGTAATATTTGAATGATTTGTTTGAAATTAAATTGATTTTTTTACGGTCTCAGTCGTATGTTGCAATTTTCTCAATTTGTATGGACGCCATGTTATTCGGTATGAGACGTCTTTAACAATTTTCTCCTTATAGACGCAATAAATAGAAGTAAGATTAGTAGCGATCAAAAGCGCTTTTTTTATCGCATTAAGCCTATACCCCGTTTCATTTTTCGCGAACACTCCCTTTAATTTTAAGTAAACCTTCAGTTTTAGAGGTGCATGTCCGATTCACAGCGGTAATCTTAAAGTGTTTAATTGTGATAATTTCTCCATTTTTACTGAAGCAAGAAATACACAAGTCACTTTTGCATAGAAGCCACAAATGAAAATAAACAGTTAAAAAATGTTTATCTGAATCCATTCACGATCAGATAAACCTTTTACAGGCACTCTTTTGAATCGAAAATTTAGCATTATCAATAGAGGGTCACTCGAGATTTCGCTTACAATCCCTTTTATTAGAATTACGAGGATATTCCCTTTAATTATAATTACGAGGATATTCCCTTTAATTAGAATTACGGGGATATTCCCTTTAATTAGAATTACAAGGATATTCCCTTTAATTAGAATTACGAGGATATTCCCTTTAATTAGAATTACGAGGATATTCCCTTTAGTTAAAATTACGAGGATATTCCCTTTAATTAGAATTACGGGGATATTCCCTTTAATTAGAATTACGAGGATATTCCCTTTAATTAGAATTACGAGGATATTCCCTTTAATTAGGATTACGAGGATATTCCATAAAAAGAAATATCATTAAAAGATTTGAAAGGGAAGAAATCTAAATCCCCCCCCCAGACTTCCATGTAACCCGAAGAGATAAAACCGAATAGTTTTATGTCTTTACTCATTCATGTCTGAGGATTGAGTGTAAACAGATTGAATAAAATGTAAGTTTAGACGAGATAGATATTTAGGTATTTATAAACAGTTTCTCTCTCTGCAATATTTTCAAACAGATTTATTTAGATTTTAGAAGTGTTTCAATCTTAATACTTTGGGTAGTTTTTTTCTGGACCTATACAGAGTTCCCCACAAAGATTGAGTTTTAAATTTTTATCAGTCGGGATACTTTTTTGTTTACTTTTTTTCTTCTATGCAGAATATCCAATTTAATCTTTATATCGTGGGTTTTTCAGGGACTGGGACGGGGAAGAAGTAAAGTAAATCTTTATTAAAAGAGTTCCATGTATAATTAACGGTGGCCTTGTATGATTAGGAATTAATAAGATATCCATGATTTCTCTTCATTAAAGTTCCCAGAGAGATTTAATCTGTAACCTGTGAAACCTGAACCAGTAAGTACCAGACCCTGATTAGCATTAAATCTGTAACCTGTGAAACCTGAACTTGTCTGTGAGAACGGAAACTATTGTTACGTCCTTGTTCCTCAAGGTGTCGCATATGCCAGAGTCGGAGCAATGTCTTGTTCTTTCAACCAGAACCAGGAGCACAGTCCGTGATCAAACCTTTCATATGGTTGGACCCACCTTCAACAGGTTTCATATTAAAACTAATTAAGAAAGTTTAATGATTTTTCAATCCAGAATGTTCTTTGAGGTTCCGAAACAAAAAAAGATAAGTGTGAAAACATGAAAACATATAGGAATTTTTAAGTCATGAGGTTTGCTTGGGATAGATGAATAGATAGACAGAGAACACAAGCA